TTTATATATATCATATACACACCTGTTTTCAATTTCTTTTTTGATTACTCTTTTATACTTGTCAACTTTTTCAATTTTTACTCAATGACTTTAAAATTTCTTGTTTCTCTTTGCAATTTTCTGATATTTTCATGACATTTTCTATATCTATGAATTTAAAAAATAAATATCAGTAACTATTTAATAATGTTTGAATTAATAAAAATAACTATAGTATATATATTTATTTTCAAGTGACTCTTTAGTTACATAATCTTACATAACCAATTAAGTTATTGTAAATATTTCTAAAAACAAATATCACAAGCTGAAATTCATATGGTATCTTCGCCATATAAATATATCTTGAAAATCTTACAGGCATCTGTTGGTTAATACTAATTTTATTATGAAAATATTGACTTGCATAATAAAATCTAACACCATGTGTGTGTGTGTATGTGCATGAGACATAATATATGAGAATTGCTCTGCAAATAATGCTTCCTATATTATGTTGTGTTGCAATGTTGTCAAAATAGCTGAGAATTAGGAAACCTGTAGTTAGAGTATCGACGGAACAGAAGACTGGTGAGAAGAAATAATATAGAAGCTCTTTATTAAATATTCATACAGAGAACAGGAAAACTTGAGTAATTCAAATACTACTCAAATCCTACTCTTACGTAGCTACTTACCCTACTTATAAGTAGGAACAGTCCATTGTCACAGTAGTCAGTTAGAGCATGGAGTATACTGAGTCCTATTCTACAACATAGCAGATGTTAGTGATATAGTTGTAGTGCTTGAACCTTTCTCTTAATAAGCCATAATATTTCTTACCTTGGTGCAAATAGCAGCTGAGTGGCATGCTAACAAAATGGCATCTGAAATGAATGTGCCACTGAATTCTATGAAGCAGAAAAATGGCACCCATTGACATTCATCATTTATTGAATATTTACAAAAAGAAAACAGTGGATGTCAGCACAGTTAGGCAGTGGGTAATATGTTTCAAGAGGCAACAGTGATGTATGTGACCAGCCGTGAAATGCAAAGTGTTTCAATCAATTCATCTGTGCGTTATGATCAGGGATTTATGTCTAGAATTGAATATTGAGATATCACAAAGTTTATACCAGATGAATCCCATAAGCACTCACCAAAAAATCAAAAGATCAATGAATGCAAATCTGTTGGGCTTCCAGAACCATATTGTTACAGATGATGAGATGTAGGATCAACACTACAAGCTGGAATCAAAATTATAGCCCATGGATAGCAACATGTGAATTCCTCATCAATTGTTCATTGCTAATGAAAATAGCAATGATTATGTAGGGAAAATGGTGCTTTGTAGCTAAAAACATTCTTTATCTAATGGTATTATTGAGCTCTCTGTATATTTTGCAGTTTCCATGGAAAGGAACAGGAGGCATTACTTTCAGAGAATCCCTTGTATATGCATATGGCATATAAAAAATGTTGGGTTTTTTCAGTCAGACTCTAAATAATCTTAAATGCAAAATAAAATATTTTTAACAACAAATGTTAAATTAGATTTAATAAAAGCTATGGAAATAAATGTTAAGATTAAGAGTAAATTGGCATTTATGTCATTTTGTAGGGTTTCATAGATCTGATTGTACAGAGTTGAATTTTATAAATTTACCAGAAGCTCAACTTTAAAATTTAAGAAAACTATAGAAAAGGCTATATTCTATTTTATTTACAGTTTTTGCATTTTGGAAGGAAATTATAGATTCTGTAGAATTTATGTGTGTACATAAAGCCAAATTGAAATTTTTACCAAAATATTTCAAAATTAAGAGAATTATAGAAAAATAATGTTTTGACATATTTAGAGATTCCAACAAATTTCTGCATGCATGTAGGATTAAATACAACTACTATATTTGATGACATAAAAGACTCTCCACCCATGTTTTCTCAAAAATATCTTCTAGGCCTTATATGCAAAGTTAAGATATTTGGTAGGTTAGTAATGTTTATAATAAATACTTTACCAAATCTAACTCCATAATAGTCTAGTATTAAATGTATATAGAGTGGTTGTATGTACTACCAAGTAGACTAATTTATCTGAAATGATGGAAAAAAAAACAGAAATAGGTATTTATTTAATTTAATCTAGGCCCTATTACATGAATTTTTGGTTGGTAAAGGGATGAATTTTTTTATTCCTGTAAACTGTGATTGCAAATCCCAGAAGTTCTAGTTCAGTTTCTCCATGTGTGTGTGTATTTGATCATTCTAAAAAAAGATCAATCCTAATATAAACAAAAATATCATTATCTTGTTCTATTCTAACTTAATTTCGTCTTTACTATAAACAAAATGAAAAAGCCAGCAATGTTTAAACTTGCCATTTATTCAAACTTGTATTTGTATACATATTCATCAACACATTCACAAGAAACTTTAACATGACTTTGTACAATATTTTTCCTTACATTTCAAAATGTGCTTAAAGTTTTTTTAAAATATATATCTCTTATATATAATAACAAACTGTTGTATTCAATGCACATAAACTACTTATACACATACTGGAAAAACTAAACTGGCAAACCTTGTCAGTTAATTTAAATAACAATCGTTTAAGCAGATTTTTGCTGTCTTACTTATATATATATGTGTGTGTGTGTGTGTGTGTCTGTTCATATGTTTTTCTCTCTTTAAAAATAATGCTCATTTCTTAGTATGACGAAAATCAGTGTTAATTCCTTGAACAAGATGAATAAATGATTTTAATCTCAAACAGATTTTAAAAACAATTGCTAAATATTCAAACATAGGGATTTGCCTATTTAGCTATGGAATCAAGAGATATTGGTAGCACATTAATACCATTGGATAGAACAAGTTTTCAGCCATTAAACACTGTTTTTGAACATAATCACCACTACTGGTTATTTTATTTATTTATTTTGTTTTTTCTTTAATCAGTATCATTTCATGCAACGCAGTAGAGCCACTAAAACACAAGTGGTTACAGAGTTTTGGAAGAATTAGGAACAAAAACATTAAAATGATGAGCAGAAATAGAAAAGACTAATCAGTAGATAGCTTGCATTTAAATTTTTGCAGTTGGCTGGAAAGCATGGAAGCAGAAGGGAGTTCCACAAACAAGACACGCGAGAGAAGAAACTGTCAGTATAGAATTTACAGCTACATCTAGCCAGCTCAACTGTTGAGATTTTGACACCCGTCTAGTACTGTGATTAAATTCAAAAAACACTAGGTACAATAGCAAATCTGAACAATTACGATGAAGCTATTTATAGAACAGACATAGAGAGGCAACTTTACAAATGATGGAAATTGATTGAAGCCCAACTGCCAGATAAGGACCAATAATATTGCTAATTCTTCTTTGGATTTTATCAAGATGCTCAAGGTAAATAGCAGAGATACCAGACACTATGTGGCAGCAACATTCTAAACATGGACGAATGGTAGACTTATAGATATGTAGAGATAGATTCTAGAGAGAAAAGTTGTCTCACCCAACACATTGAACTGACTTTCTTAACAGATGACCTAGCAATGTATTCAATACAATCTTTCCACTTCATGTCAGCTGAGAAGGCACAAGTCACTTTCCTGGAGGTTAGCATCAGCCATGTTGATAGGTGAATGGTTTCTCAGATGATTAATGCAGAGAAGTATTGTTTTGGAGGTGTTAAAATTGATATGCTATCTTTTGCCCCAATTAATGGCATACTTGAGGTCGTTTTTGACATCAGCTGCCCTTTTAACCTTGCCAAACTGATCAGTCTTACTATTGAGGCAGGAGTAAATGGTTGTGTCATCAGTGTAGATACCAAGTTGTGAGCTGATGCCATCAGTAAGGTCATTAATGAAAATTAAAAACAGAATAGAGCCAAGGATGGAGCCCTGGGGGACATCCGCGTTAGTACAAAAACAAGTGGCCATTCAAGATAATTTTCATTTCACAATTTGATAAAAAAGATTGGATCAGTTCAAAAAAGTTTCTAGAGACACCATAAATTTTCAGTTCATGGAGAAGACCTGAATGCCAGGCCATGTCAAATGCTTTTAAGATGTCCAATTCTACAGCTGTGCTTCACTGTTTTTACCTAGAGCATGATATACTATTTATGCAATTATCATCAGTACATCAACAGTTGACCTGGAGAAACAAAAGTCATATTTCAGATGCTCATATCCACTGTTTGAAAATGTTTAGCAAGTATAGAATAATATCATTGTGTGCTATTTTTTCTGCATATAGAAATTCAATGACATACATCTGCTTTGTATGTACTCTCATGTCAGACACCATTTTACCAAACTGGGCCAACATAATAAAATAAGAGGCATTAATCTCAGAGCAACTCTTATATCTTTTTACATTTATATTGCAGATTTTCTTAGAGAAAGAAGATTGTGTAGCACCAGGGAATGCCACCTGTTTTAGAAATTTCACCATAACTCTATAACTGGTTCTAAAGAAAAAAAATCATTAATATTTCAGTTATCTAACAGACTTAACAAATTGAAATATAGTAATACACTAGTCAAGATTTACATCATTGTGGTTGTAAGGATTAATTTATGCAGTTAAAATCAGTTTTTGTATTATCAATAATGGTTACAATTTATTGGCAGACATATAGTGAGATGAGAGGTATAGTCCATCCCTGGTGGCAAGTTTTAGGGAGTGGCATCTAGATGAATTCATGTAATGAAGTAGTTATTGTTCAGTTTTGAAATGATGTTTAGAGGGGCTGTAAATTTTACACAAGGGGTGCCACTGTTACAATTAATCAGGAATAATATTAACTGTAACAATTAAGTAGAAATCAATTTTGTACTATTCAGGAATGACATTGGTTAATTGTAACAATTGAGCAGAACTGCCTGTTAAAGATATACAAATGAAATATATATGAAGAATAAACATAGTTGAATAGACATTGAGAGGTAAAATGTAGTGTTTCCAGCTGACTAATAAAGGTTATTTTGTTAAATAGGGTCATGAATCGGTTCTTCTACAAAGACAGTATCGATGCCATCCTGCTATCAGTCACATTGCTAATACACTCTTTTATGGAAGACAACTTGAAGATGGAATCAAGGAAAAAGACAGACCAAAACTTGTGGTGAGTAACTTCACTTTTGTTGATCCTTTACTCTAATGTTTGCATATTTGGATCCAAATCACAAAGATCTAAGCTTCTAATGCTTGTATCTTTACTGGATGAATTGAACAAAGTATTTTTTGTATCATAGAATAACATGATATGATTCCTCCCACCCAATACATTGATATGTTTCTGTGGTCAAATAAATTAAAATCAGAATAGATTATGTAGTACTCTTTATATTATATCAAAACTTAGTTGGAATAGCTAAGACACAGTTAAAGAAAGATGGGAAAAACATTCATAGAATATAACTATTAACAGTGCAACTCCAGCAGACTATCTCTTTGAAAAAATTTTCTACCTTGCTGCTTTCGCACCTGCCAGGGGAAAATTAAATAAATTCTCTTTTGTTCTTAAGACATTGATTCTAATTGACTTTTAGTTAGTTCGAGTTTAAAATAAAATAAAATTTTGCTTTATCTGCTCATCAGAAATTGACACAGTATTGACCTTATTCATACCCATACCAATTACTTAAAAGATTATTATCCAAATGTGTAACATTTGTAAAGTTTTACTATTTTATCTAATAGTCCTGACTTTGTATGTTATTTGCTATTCTCTAAATTTATCATTTTTATTTCAGGTTTTAGTAAATGTCTTTGCATTATTCTTCAATTAATAGAAGTGAGTAATGCAATTATTAATTAATTTTTTAATTAGTTTTAACTGGAATTTCATTCTAGTTATTGTATTCTAGTGTTTCCCAATATATGGGTTAAATAATAGAATAGACAGGACTCTCTAACCTTGTTTGGCAACCGATCTAGTAGAAGGACAACTCTGAATTCCAAACTGATTGAGGATGAGGCTGCCAACTCCATCCTGTAAAAGCCTACTTGGTACAGAAACCACAGCAGCAACACGTAGTGTGGTGAGACTCTGGCTCTATACTCTGCAAGGGAATCTACTGGTATTAAGGAGGAGGATGGAGTATTTCTTTCATCTTAATTTCAGTTATTTTTTATTGCAACTTTTCTGTCCATCATAGCTGCTTTCCTGAGAAAGCTCACTCCCACTTCAGAAGCTCAAATCTAACCTTATAACTTTCCATCTCTTATTTTACCAAATGCCAAACTTGCTACCATCTTTAATGTTTACACACATACTGGCAGTATTAGTAGTAATATTATCTTAAATCTATTAGTAGATAAAATATTGTCAGTAATAATTAGTATATTTTTCATCTTAATTTCAGTTTGTTAACAGTCATAGAAAACATTTTGAAAAGTTGTAATAAAAAGTAACCAAAATAAAAATTAGTTGAAAGTTTTTCATTAATAATAAATTGAAGATAACTTTTTTATTCTAATGTGCTATTTACAACTTTCTGATTTGATATATTTTGTGTACTTATCATTAATTGATTTCAGATTAAATTCAAGAAGCTTTTTCCATGTTGAAACTCGCACAGAAATGAAAATCTGTTATAATCTAATTTTATGTACACTGTAAAGGCTGGAAGATAGGATTGAAACTGCAATCTTCAAATTTATTTTATTGTTGGGGTATCAATCATTTTAATGGGCATGGTTTCACTTATGAGAAATAAATATACAATATTTATTCTTGTAGAGGATCTTTTGCAACTGATCAAAGCTAAAATAAAGCAAAGAGTTTGCATTAGACTCAAGTGAAATATCTTAACAATTTTGTTTACTCATTAACAAGCTAAAACAGCTCTTATTATGAATTAGCCAACTTTCATGTAAAACTGCTTTTGTTCTTTGACCAGAATAACTTGTAATGTTAATTTACTTTTCTGAAATAAGCACTTATATGAACAAGATACTTTTTCATGGCAGAAGCACTTGTCTTTGCTTTTAAAAAATATCAAAGTTTGTGATTTACAATGGCTTTGAAAATCATATTGATAAGATGTGTCAGTCAATCAAAGTGAAAACTGATCATTTCAGATCTTCTATGCATTATAAAGTAGAGATCATTTGATAGATGAAGATAAAATATTCATGGCCTTTTTTTTTTTTTTTTTTACATACAAAAATAGGAGGTAGCGTTAAGTATGAAATTGTTTTGTGGACTACCAAATATACTTATCTAGTTAAAGTGAAGGCTAAGCTGTCATCTTGGTGGATAGATATTAAACATTTACTTTCAACTTAAAAAAATGACAGTAAAAGCTAAGAGTTATAAAGATGAAGTGTAAGAGAAAATGGAATTTTTTCTTTGTATATTCTAGGGTGCAGTCAAATATATAAATATGAAGGATGTCCTGAAAAGTAAGTTACAAATAGACATAAATTGACCTGAATTAATACAACAAAGCTGATTGCTTCCATAAAACAGTGGATAGACATATAAGTGCAGGGTGTCATAAGATTTTTGCCTGCTAAGGGCAAAAAATTCAATAGAAATTCAGTATAAACTTGTTGCTTTGTATAGCAAACATGTAATGAGCAGAAAGGGAATATCAATCTGGTGTAGTACATTCACAAAGTTAAGTATGAATCTGTAGGATGAGTCTTGTGTATGGCATTCATATTTATTAACAACAGAAAACAACATTGCACACATTGAAGCTTTGATTCAAAAGGACATGTCACAAATTTTCTGATATATGTGTCAAACTTGATCCTTTAATGTCATTGGTCCATGAAATCATCCAAAGATAGTTGAGATATTGGTAAGTGTCATCTTAGTGGGTCCAAAAACAATTCATTGAAAAAAAACCACATGTATGCTGGAGCCACTTTTCTGCTAGAAGAGTGTCTCTAGTAAATATGGCTTGGATATTTTACCACATAATCTGAAGGAGCTGTGTCATAACTATAAACTCTTCAAATTATACTTCTCCAGTAATTTGTTTCAGTTGATAGTGTTGTTTCAGGGATGAAAGAATTGTTCCAGTCACATGATGCCATGTCCTTTAAGTATTTGTGTACCAATAGGAAAAGTACATCAACCTAAAAGTAGCAGAATCGGAATCGTGCTGTTAAATATGATTGGATTAGTGAATGGCTATACTTTTGTGGCAGTGGAAGAACCTATGTCTTATCTTGGAAAAGAATTTGTGTTCTTCGTGCTGTCAAAAAAGAAAACCAGAATCAAGATCAGGTCAACTTTAGTAGGCCTCAGGATATGATAATTGTTTGCACTTCATTACTACCATGAACCAATCACAACCTTTCCTGCCTCAATGAAAGAACTCTACTTTGGACCACAGGATTGCTTGGCTTTTCCTGGTTTTCATTTACACCCCTTGCATTTTCTGATGTTGGACTTGCAAGACTGTTTTTTGATCCTTGTGATTATGACCTTGGATTTTTGGGATCTGAACACCCCCTATTGGTATTTAAGTCAACCTTACATGCTGAACATCTCTTGTATGTCAGTTATTAGAAAATTGATATTTCTAATGACAAAATGTTTTCATCATAGTGCCTTATCAGTTATAGATGTGGCACTATTTGTTACTGGTAAATAATAATAAAGCTTTTTGGATAACAGGAACAATATGCTAATAAACTATCATGGGAAATATTAAAAATTTTATTTCTCAGAAAGTCGAAATTTCTAAAAGAACTAGATGGACGGCTAAAAACAACAGTTAATTTTTATAACAGGGTCATATGGTGATATTCAGACAAATGATTAATGACCACCACCATGGGTGCTGGCTGTAGAACCAGAAGTGAAAAGAATTGGATAAGATTTAAAATCACAATTTAGAGATAAAGATTTCTTTGGAGAATGTCCTTGACCAGAACTGAAAGAAAAAAGGGCTATATGGTCTGTATCTGATTTCAGACAAGAAAAATATAAAACGAATATAGGGAATTTTTCTGCAGAGGTGACAGGTTTGAAATAGTAATTCCTTGACTTAATTTTTACAACAGGGACATAATATTTTGACGGATGACCACCGCTATGAGTGCTAGCCATGAAACCAGAAGCGGTGAGAATCAGATGAGATTTTAAAAACAATTTGGAAATAAAGGTTTTCTTTTTGGAGAATGCCTCTGATGGAGGAGAAAGCCATCTGCTTTGTGTTCAACTTTAGACAAGGAAAACCTAAAACTGATGTTGGAAAATTTGCTTGGAGACAACAAGCTTGGAATGATAATTCTTTTTGAATTAACAAACTTGGAATTAATCTTCAACAGTCAAAAACCATTGGTCGGGAGGTGGCTAAGGTAGTGGGTACAGATGAAACACCAAGGAGAGCGGAGGGGCTACCCACACCCACTGAGTGTTAGTGGGAGATGCCAATAAGAGATGGTAGAAGTTATGGGGTGGATTAATGCCTGTGACTGTCACCTGAGGAAAAGGAGAAACTTCCAAATTGGGGACTAATTAATTTTTCAGAACCCAGACAGCAGAATGAGGTTTTTGTTGAAAGTTGGAGAAATACCGAATTTCCCAACTGTGTCATGCCCCATGCCAGTTTTAGGTAAACCTCAATAAATACGAATGCCACGAAGTAAGGAATCAGATCATCCCAAGAAATCATTCCAGCCACTGGACATGAGACACCCCATGTGACTGCCTACCAATGAGAACTTCAGACACCAGCCTTATGCCAAACTTCACCAAGTCAGCAAAACAAACTTTACAGAGTTAACAAAGTGTCACGTCTGACTTAAGAAGCAGGTTGGGTTGATAAACATCTGCATGCAAACTTCTAGACTTTAACAACAATTACCCAACTATTGTACAAAGGATTTGATATAAAATAGCATTTATATTTTTTATTATTCAAGTTTTTTTGTTTTTTTTTCCTTGTATCTTCACCCCACTCAGAACAGCCCAATACAAAGATACCTGATGACAATTTGATCTTGGCCTGCCTTATAATCAAAGCAAATCACAATGTTGGACATCTTAAGGGCAACATAAATTAAGGGGCTTAAGGGCATAAATTCATAAATTCAAAACTTCAAATTAAATTAACAGTAAATGCCAACAATAATTACTTTCTATTCATGAAAGTGAATTATATTTGAAGAGTCAAGTATTTGAAGGATCAGTTATTAAGCTATGGGGAAGAACGTATGTTAACCTCTTTTATGTCTTTGCAAAATCTATGTAATATCTAATCATCAATATTTGTTTTACTTATTAGAACCTTTTACAGTTTATTTTATTTCATTTTTGTAACAGTTCATTTTTTTTATGTTTATATATAAAATATTGTTTGAGCTAGCATTTTTTTTCTTGGCAAAACCTTTCCATTTTTTTTTTTAGCATTAATTCTTAACTTTCATGATTATTTACAGCATGAATTACCAACTCTATGTTTCTATGATGTCAGTGAGGGCAAAGAAATCTGTGAAAGCTCAGGTAGTTTTTACAACACAGAGGAAACTGGCTTTGTGATCAGTATAATTTTAGCCCTGCTGTCTTGTGGGGTTGAACCCACATCAATTGGTGTCATTGCTCTGTACAAATCTCAGACATATCAGATTAACAAAAAGCTGTTAGAATCTTGGCAGCCTCAAGACAACAAGTGAGTTCTACTCTGCATTTCTTTACATGCATCTCTGAACAGCAAATTATTAGTAATAAGAGAAGCCTATTTCATTCGTTATTTATATATATACTTGTTATTTAACTTACATTAAAAAATATATTTGAGACTAATGATAAAGTAATAAAGCACATCTGCAAATAATTAACAATATTAGTCTACATTCTTTCTCTCTCTCATACATACATTTACTAAGCACAGCATAGTAAATCAGGATAGTGGGTTGCAAATGAGTGGGTAAGAAAATTGTGATGTGGTCCCCAGATATACATACATATGCACAATTACTATATTTCTCTGTCCTGGGTATGACAATAAACTACATCTGCGTCCAGGGTAAGATGATAAGCTACGTCCAACAGCAAGGCCTCTGATCAGGAGGTTTTGGTGAGCATGGAACCACTTCTTAATTGATGATGTTCCCAGGTCCACCCTGACCCGGGGTGGTAGCACCTGTTAGGGTCTCAGCTATGGGCAAATAGTAAACTTCGAAATTGAGGTAAAAAGTATTATAAAGTGTAAAATAGGTTTTAATACCAGAAATACTGTGTAAAAAATTATTACCAGAAATAAATTTTTGAAGAAAAAAAACTATTACCAGCAATATATTTTTGAAAAAAAAAAATATTACCAGGAAAAAAAACTTGTCAGCATTAAATAACGCATTATGGTTGATATACCATAAAACAAAACAAACTATCGCTATAAATCTATTTCACAATTTTGTTGGCATTAAATGACCCACTGAGGTTGAAATGCAATAAAACAAAACAACCAACCAACCAAGAATATTTCTCTTATTCTGTCACTACTTTCTATTTTCTTTCTTCCCCTCACACTGAAAAAAACAGTTATTGTTTGATTATCAAAGTTAAGCAGCGTCAAGCCCATTCAGTACTTAGATCGGGAACTACTTAGAAACACTGGGTTACTGTAAGCAACCTTCTACAATCTAAAATATGATTCAGCTTTAAATAACTCACTATGGTTGATAAACCATAAAAAACAAATCAATCAACCCTTCTTCCTCTCCATTTTGCATATAGAATATAATCAGTGATATATTTTATATGTAGGCTAACATAACATTGCTCTTGATGAAATAGCTTTTCAGAACATTATTACTCTTTTATTCTATTAGTCTTAGATTTGTGTTTGAATGTTTCAGATGAGGTTTTACTAATTATTAACTGGTATTTGTTCATCTTTATGTTGCAATTCCAAAACTGTCACTGGCATACCATTATGATAGACTGAATAAATGAACTAACAACTCTTATGACTACCTTACCTACCCAGGCAAGATCAGCAAAAAACTGTTTCACTTATATTCAACCTTCAATCAATTTATTTGTTTGTTTTTTTTAATTAAATCTGATTAATTTGATTGGTTACATAGAACACTATTTTTAAGTCTTAGCAATGGCTGACTGACATTATAACAATAAAATAATCATCAACCAACTTATTTTTGTTTCATAATCAGATTTTTAAAAGGGAAATCTATGAAGAGTATCCAAGTGTCAACTGTTGATGCTTTCCAAGGAGGAGAACGAGATGTTATCATATTGTCGTGTGTCAGAACCAGCCACACTGGCTTTGTCAACAACAATAAGTAAGTCTGTTATTTTCTTTATAGAAATATGAAAAGGGTAACTTAATTTGTGAAAATAACTTGTGGAATCTGTTTCGATGTTTGTATTACATTTGTTCTTTACAATACAAAAATAACAGGAATGGCTTGAATATGACAAGTTCATTAGATATACTGAATGACTTTAGTTATTACAATGATATTGTAATCAACTGATGTTCATGCCATTAAGGAATTGATTTTTAAAAATCTTTATTTTTTTAATTTTATACAAATAGAAAAGATGTTATTGCCACTTTAACTATTTTAAAAATGGTGACATTTTGTCTTCTTTTTCCATAAAATACTTTAAGCTGTAACTGAATAATATATACAAAGTTATGTTTATAATTTCAATCAGTATGCAATCCTTAAAATTCTAGTGTTTATGATAAATATTTATCTATCCAATCATAATCCTTTTTATTTTGTAGACGAATGAATGTTGCTCTAACAAGAGCAAGGAACCATTTGTTTATAATTGGTAAATGTAGTAATTTGTGCACAGATGAAACATGGTCGAAAGTCATTCAAATTTGCCAAGGTAAGTTGGATGATTTTTCCCACCATAGAATACATACCTATATGTTATATTTTAGTGTCATCAGTGAAATAAGTAAAGGCAAACACTAGTTTAGTTGTGTGCCTATTCTGAATAACCTGTGACTGACATTGGGATATAAGACATAGGATAACTTCTGGAAGGAAATACAGTATTTATTTTCTACTGTTATGATGTTCCCTTGTTGTGCAGAGGGAGCAGTCCTATAAACTAGATATAGGACTTCATCTGAAGATTGTGTTCTCTTTAATTCTACCATAGCTGGAAGTCTTGTAATCTTTACAAAGTTCCTATTTAACAGTGTTGCAATAAAGATTGTTACTTATATTTCTTGAATACAAGTTCAAATTATCAATTAGTATAACCTTGAAAATTTAAAGAAAGATATATTGATCAATAATATTAATAATAATAATTCATTGAAGGGATTCAAGATATTTCATTAGGTAGTATTGAGTTCTTTGCTATATAACAAGAATCAGGTGAAAAGATTAACATCAATATATTTTTGCTATGGCTTTCCAGAAATGAAATATTTGTCTGTGAAAAATGTATTTCTATACGCTGATCATTCGCAATGTATTTTCTGTAAGAATTTAAAGTTTTGTACAGAAATAGTTCCACTTGAAAAATAATCATAAAGGCTATAATTATTATCTCTGTACATCTTTCAGATTCTCCAAATAGTTTCCAGTCTGCAAAGCAAGCCAAAATAAAACTACAAGATTTGTGCAGCCATGCTCTAATGACTGTAGATGGGGAAGAAGAGAAGAGTGTTGGGACAAAAAAAAAAAAACACACCGAAATGGCACTGTGCTGATGTAGCCCAAGAGAAATAATGTTAAAGCAAAATGGAATCGGACTCCATTTTGACTGACTCTACTTAAACCAAACATTGATAAAGTGAAAATCAAAGAGTACAACATTTTGGAAAAACAAAACTCAGGCCTGTATTCAAATTGATCATTTCACTGTGTGTGAGGCTTAGTCTTTCAATGTTTCTGTTGATCAGGCTTTCATAAATAGAAGCTTGAAATAGAAGGTAATGATTATCACATTACTTTTTATAAATAGCGGTTGTGTTATCCCTGCTTAGCAAATATGAATTAATCTTCCTTTCACAGAAAGGAGATTATGGAAGACAAGCAAATATATAGCAAGGGTAATGCTTAATCATATTCATGCAGGGATATGTGATTCAGTATATGCATACGAGGATGCTAAAATATGATCAATTTGGTTAGGTTGAGAAAATTCAACATTTCCTCATAAATATAAATACCCCCAAGTTGTACATGCACATACACAGAAATATCATTTTTATAAACAAATATAAGATGATATGGAAAACTTTTATTTTGACATGTTTTGTCGATCACTTAATTGGAAAAATATACCAAGATAAAGGTTTTCCAAATTGTCTTATACATGGTAAAGTTTGCTTCAGCTTCTTAAATTGCCATAAACCAATGTTGACCATATGTGTTATTTGTATCAATGCAGGAAAAAAAGTAAAAAATTTGTTCATTTCAGTTTTTATTTTATTCTTAAATAGAAAAAAAAAATGACCTCCAAATTTCACATACTCTCTTACTTTTTTTAAATATTTTATATTTTATTCAAATTCATTCAAAATAAAAATTGCGATCAAATAATTATTCATTAAAATTACTTTTAAAAATTTTCCATTTTTACAATAAATGTATAAAAAATTATTTTTTCATCTCTTACATTGGTGCACATGAGTATATTCAAAATGATATACCTTTCTCTGTGGATTATATACATTCTTTTATGTATTTAAAGTGAGAAATGAAGAAACGCAATTACTTCTGTTGCAATGAATAAACTTGGACACATTGAATGCATGCCAATTATTATTATTTCATCACTAGAAAATTATATTTGAAAATAAAGATAAACATTTTTTTTTTTCTCTCAACAACAGCAAGCATCTTCTAACCAATTTAATGTTGATTTTATAAATCTATTTCTGTTGATATTAAACCGCATCAATTATTTGAACATAAGTTTTACAGTGGTTGGCATTTAGAGCATAACTACATAAAAATGATGCTGGCCTCTTTATTAAATTATAGGAATTAAATACTTTTAATTTATTTTGTCCAATTATTTCCACACTAATAGAAGATAATTGTATATTGTTGGTTTTGAAAATTCAAACATGGATGAGAATTTGAAAAATCATTAACAAAGTATATCGTTGATTGTAGTGTGTTCCAATTAAAGACTGAATTAGCATGGAGAATTTTATCTCTAAATTAAAAAAGATATATTTGCTAAAATAGAAGAAAGCAGAGAATGGAACTGTTGAAATCAAACATGGATATAATGAGCAATGATTTTAGCTTATATTATTTAAAATAGCAATTCTTAAATTGATTATTCACTTCATAAAGTTGTTTGTAAATAAAATGAGAGTTGGGCAATTTTTTTGTACATCTGATTTTTGTTTACTAGAATAATAAAACTTGATGATTAGTTGTATTCAATCATAAGGATATTAGACTGATTAAACTCATGTTTGTCAAGGAATTCATAAATATTTTCTTAACAGGGCAACAGAGTAAAAACAACCACCACCACACACACAGTGCATTTTCCTCGATGCCTTGTTTCAAAAGAATAAATGTTGAGATCTTTCATACAGTGGATTCTTTATCATCATTCCACATTCTGGCCTGCTCCTGTAACAATGAAATTAGAAACAAAATTAATTTTTCTGTTACTTTATATTGACCCAGTTTCTATACAAAGATCTGGAACACATTAACTCTTAAAATGCATATTACTCTAACATTAGGTTGATAAACTGCCAAAAAGCTTACTTGTTTAAACAAAAATCTGTTTATTGAAAACTGTTTGTTAGGAATTTTATCTTAAATTGAGCAATAATGAAATGAAAAAATATTAGAATCCTTTTTGTCCATATTTGATAGTTAATATTTTGTTAAAGACAAAGTAGAAATATATAATTTGTACATAAATAAAAGAATAACTTTACTTACCTGACTGATATTTTTCTGGTATTTTGGAGACTTATTTAAAATCTTCAGAATGAATGGACTCAGCAAGTTGCAAGAAATGGTGGATGGATCTTGGAAACCTGAAAGAAAAAGTTGTATTTGCACTTACTCATAATACCAAAACTTAATTATATTTTTTAAGGGAATGAAAAAGTGAAAAACCTTGTGATTTTTGCAACTAGAATCATTTAGTCCATTTTCTACACTGTCAAAATTATCAAAGGATTGTAGAAATGCTCATGAAATTCTGTTTGGAAGACTCAAATACACATTTTCAGGCTTTTGTTGAACTATATTAAACAGTCCACATATCTTGATAATTTTAGTTTAGCACAAACACTAGGGTAGAAAGATTGTATTGCCCCAATCTTCCAGGTGGAGGGAGCTTGTCTGCCTAGAGAATCTACATGCAAAATTCTGGACTTTCACCTAATAAGAAATACTCAACTACTTCAGACACAAGGTAAGATACATAATTTCATATTTCTTTTACTTATTGCTTTGAAATTGTATTATTAGCAGACAAAACTGACAGTTTTTTTTTTTTTATTTAGGGTATTTCTTTCTCATTTTTAATTTTCATGGAATTTGACAGTGACTTAACACATTGTATTTCATTTTTGAGATAAGTCATTACCAGTATACTTTTTAAAAAATTATTTCAAACAATTATTCTCCTTTTAGTTGTTATAGACACAATGTTTCCACCAAATTATGAAAAGTGATACAAACCCACCATGATAAATATTGAAACAATCTGATATTGAATATAAAAGCTTCAAAAACACAACACTGATGTCTTTTGATGGCATAGTGGATATACAAATTGGTTAGGATCTGGTAGTGAAACACTGGTTCAGAAGGAAGGAGCAAAATTACTGGCATTAAAATAATGCAATAACAAACAGATAACTGATAACAGCCAAATAATGATTGCTTGATGATGGCCAAAGAGAAGGAAAACATTGATTTTAAACATCTACTACCTTGCAGCTATACCAAATCATGATAAAGGTTTCAGGAGTAAACCCTGAGGACAAATCCAAATGTCTGATGTTATGTTCAACTACTTTCTGGCAACTCCTGTGATAACACCAGTGCCAAGCTGTATTGGAATCTACCTTTCCCTTGGACAACATTGGTGGCATGGAGAAGGGATACGTACTGTATGGGCAATCGCCAATCTCTAATAAAACCCTGCGAGGACCTGCACCCTGGAGAGGACACTCCAGAATCACATCAGCAATAGTAAAACACGGTAAGCCACAGTCTACTGATGAGAGTATTCTGAAGGTTCCTTCTGTATGAGGAATTGGCTATGGGCATGAGGGCGACCTCATTTTAGCTTCAAGGATGTCTGCAAAACTGACATGAGGATGATGGACATGGACAGCAATAGGTGGGAAGATGTCACCAACAATCAGTGATGCTGGAGATCCGATTTACACTGTGGACTGGAGTGAGGAGAAAAGGAACAGAGGTGTGTTGCCAGGCAGGGGAAGCATTTTCAAAGGAAAGAAAACCTGGGGGAGAGTGTCTTCACATGTATTCATTGCACTCAATATTGTCACTTCCATGTTGGCTTGTAAAACCATAACAGATGCTGCGCTGCCATCAGCAGCTGCGACATAACTCTTTGGGTGCAGATACATGGTCTCTCAAGACTGACAGATGCCAAGGGTAATTGGCCAAAACATGCCTACAACAAGATCTATCACAAGAAAGATGTAAACAATAGTTTTAAATATAAAAATATAGTATATTAAATGATTCTATCCCAAATATCCTTCAGATGATATTAGCAGAGTAATTCAATCATTGCTTTCATGTTACTAAGGTCTGAGGTATATAGTAAGGAAGGACCACACTACACTAATTTATTTATGAAAAAAGCTTAGTACCCTTAGCTTTATAAAGATGATTGCTTTTGGAATTTTTTGTATAGTATGTGTGTGTGTATATATATATATATATATATATATATATATATATATATATATATATTTTGTGTTTATTAGTAGATTAGTAATAATAGTGACTTAACTGATTCTAAGGGTAGATACAGAATATAGGGTCTTTCATTTCATCAGATCAAGTGTTAACATGTTAAAATTTCACAAAATGCATTGCTTTTGTGAGTATCAGTATCAGAAACTATTTTTTTTTTTTACATATATATAGTTTGTGTCGAGTATTATGTAATATGGTTAATTCCAGAACTACACTACAAATTTAATCGGCAATAGGTGTGGGCAGGGATGAATAATAAAATACAACTCACCCATAGCTTTACTTCCAAGAATACTAATAATTATCACCATTGTTACAGTTATTGGACCATACCAGAGAATATTGATGGCTGGCCAATTTTCCCTGCAATAAAAATAATTCATTCTTCACTTCAGAATTTTCTCCAATTATCGTTGAAGTAGGTTATTTGTTTGTATATAATTTTAAGTTAAAATATTGATTTTACAAGATACTAACACATAATAACACTATCTTGTGTACAAAATTAAAATAGTCAAGAAACAAATCTAAGGAGAGGAGGAATTAGGCAAGTTGGACTGGTAATAATAGAATGTTTTTTCATAATTGTTTTGTCTCATTTCAATGGAAGTTATATAGGCAATTATGAAGTTTTAGCTTAATCTACCACAAGCAGGATTAAAATCACTTCAGTAGTAATTGTATATCAGAAACCTTTTAACTACTTATTGTAGTTTTATTCAGATATGGCCAAGTATTAAAAAATTATTTTTTTTTGTCACCTTTTATCAATTCTATTATCATTAGCTGTTCAAATAACCCATGATATCACAGGCAAAATAAAAATACATCAATTTTTTTTATTAACTGATAATTACATATATTCACAAGTTATGACAGAAATAAATGAATTAAAATAATAATCAGCTTTAATTTTATAGATGAGTGCATTTTAACCTGCATACAGTGGCAAGGGTCGTTTTTACTTTTACTGATGATTACTACAGAAAATGACTGTAAGTCTAACAAGCTATATTTTAAATGGTACAAGGAAAACAAATTTAAAGACTAAGTACTAAATTTTGTAATTCTTAATTAAAATGTTTTTTTTACAAGTTTCTGCACTATGTATATTAGACATTGTTTAACCTTTGTGTCTGCAAAAAACTGTGTGTCATAAGGTTGGTTTTTCCCTTGACACTGCTATTATTTTAACTACCTTCACTCCTTGGCAATGTTTATTGTTCTAAAAAGCAATGATTAAAATTTTTATAAAACCTAAACATATGAAAGTGAATTTATATATTTTCTTTGTTCTTGAGAAACAGGTGTATTAAATGTAATACAATGCAATATTTATCATTTACCAATTTATAAAGAAATAAATATTGCATTCATAAATTTGTAAACATTTACTAAATTATAAAACGATGTGATCCAACTATAACAAGATCCTTATTATTTATCATTTTATAAAGTTTGAATCGATTGGCAATCATTCCAATAAACAATTTAATAAATTGTATAAATAAACAATGTTATAAATAAAGTGTTTATTATTTTTGTTGCCGATTCTAAAGAACAAAGAAAATGTATAAATCCACTTCCCATTTCTTTTTGCAGGCACAAAGGTTAAATATTGCTGTATATTATATGTTGAAAATCAGGGAAAAAAAAGATTGTCAGTGGTTAAGAATCTGAACATTACTAACAGAATAAGGCTATTGCATGAACTGAATCTTTAACTATAAATTATTAACTTATCTTTAACCTAAAATTATTTTATAATGAAATTATCAAAATGTATTTCTAGCTTGTTAATCTATTTGATTTTTTGCTTATTAAATGTAAAAAAAAAATTTCTTGTCTGATATGCTGACATTAAAAATTATGTATTTTGAGAAATTCTCTCATTATTGAGAAATATAACATTTTTATAGGAACTTAATATACTCAACTTACACATTTTGCTGAATGATGTAGTATGTAATTATGAAAGGCACAGTGATTCCAATTGCTAAGTAAACAGCCTATAAAATAAAAAGAAATGTTTAATTAGACACAAATCTTGGCTGATATTGTCATAGTTAGACATTGTACTATTTAGCCTTCTTCACATATTTGTTATAGTTGGTTTCAAACCAAACTCTTTATTCATTCCATAGAGATAGATCATTCTCAGTCTGTTGTTCATATCAGAGGATATCTCATATCATTTTCTTTGTATGATGTCATTTACCTTTACCACAGAACCAATGTATATTACTTTTTTGCACTACCTGACACAGAGATTGAACTCATGAATGCCATGCCATATGTCCTAGTGGTGAAAACTTGGTACTATAAACTTAATATCAATTTTTAACAGATCTAATTGTACATAATTTTACACAACCTGTAATGAACAAATGTGGAATTTTTTAGTCTTAGGCTTAATGTTTCTTTTCTATGGAAGGCCTATTGAAGAGCTTATTACAGCTTAGCATGTGCACTGATTTATTTCAGTCATCTTATGTTCTTTTCTATCAATTATTTTGACTTAATTTCATAAGGATTATTGAACTGCCTCCCCTTTTTTTCTCCAAACAGAATCAGCTATGCCTGATTGCATCACCCCTCTTCAGATTTCAGCTTTCCAATATCAAGTCTTAATATTAGGGAGCTGCTAGTTTCATATTTGTATTCCCTGCCAGAACTGCATGGGATTGAATATAACCAGATTGTAGTCATGTTCCCTTTTGAGGGAAGTTTGATTCAAAAAAGAGGTTTTTAAAATGAGGAAATATTATTGAATACTGTCCTGATGTTGTATAGACTACAGATCTTCAGAATCTTTTCCAACATGCCTCTGTTATTTCAAAGACTATTTCTAATACTAATAATCATTTATAAGTTTCACTCAATCTTATAGACAAAAAAATCTTCCTTTTCCTAATGTATGAATAGTGGGAATCAAAGTTTAGGTACTATCCATTAAATCTTGGCTTATGATATATGCATATATTAAGCCTGTCATTCATGTGAAACTTTCTTCTTACATTTGGAATATGGAAAAAACAAGGATGATTTGACTAACTTTAAGGATCTGAACTGGTAGAACTAAATCTAAACATTTGATATGGAAATAGTGCTAGAGTAGTAACAGGCTTGCAATGTTGCATCTGTTGGAAAAGTGCTGCAGAGTAGAAAATAAGCTTTCTCCCAACAAGATCAAATATTGACTTTGAACTCTGTCAAAGCTTGAAAGTGAGTTATTAGCTTATTCAGGAAGATCAGTTTATCTTCCTTTTCTATTGTGAACTGTATCAAAGAGCTTGAGTTCACATGGCCCAGTACTATTTGCACATTTTCCCTGTGAGGCCAGATCATGAAGGTGTCATCTGTGTATCTCAGCTTTGTGGTATCATTCTTAAATCATTTCCTCAAAATATATGGGGTTATCTTTAAAGATAATGGATAACAGACAGCAAATATATTTCACAGTCCAATTTATGATATTTATAAACAGAACATCTTCATAAGGCTATCTGTTGGAACACTGATGCATTCCCTAAGTAAAGCATCTTTTTTTGAATTGCTCTTGAACTACAGATAGAACTTCATCAATGGGGAACTTTAAGGAACAGACTCACAATATCTAAACTCACTATCAAACTGGAATGAATGGTAACATTTTTGTTTCAGCAAAATGGGCAAAGTTCTTTATATAGGACAATGACATATCTGCTAGTGAATTAACTATATCCACAAATTTTGAAGGAAACTGTATTTTGTTACTGGATTGGATCTTTTAACTTAATTTAAGAATTAACTGATACAAGGTAGTCTCTAACACAAACAATCTACATTTGCAGATTAAATAAAGTATTTACTCTGAAATGTTGATTTCAGTCTCTAGCGGGAATGACTGAAAAACATTTCCCCCCCTTCCCCTTTTATAGGCAGAAGTCCACAAATGCATGCTGGGATATTTTTCTTAGTCAATAAAATAGGACGATTTCCAGTCCAGATCTGCCTTGTCTAGAAGACAGACCACTGCATTTGCTTGTCCAATCTTGCTTTTTGTATGTCAACACCAATTCTTAGTTTATGAATTTGTTACCTTCTTACCTGTTAAATTGCCTTGCATATATTGTTTGGTTTCTTCCTTGATATTTTATTTTAGCCCTGTTCTTTTTTTCTTTTTTTTTTATTGCAAACTTTTTTTAATTCTGTTTATTGGACAGTTCTATTAATTCTTTTGCATTTGACCATGGCTAATTACTCAACATGAAATTTCTACATTACCAACTATGATAGACAACTGAAGAAAGCAGTTAGGTACAATAGTCAAAATGTGACTAAGAAGCAAGACAATAATTCACATCTCAAAAATACAGACAAAAAACAATAATCATTCTTTTGAAATACAAGACTCAATCTGTTTATGTATGGATTTGATAAAGCTACTTAATCTCTTAAAATTCTACAGACCTTTCATAAGCCATTTCACACAAAGAAATAAAAATATGTTTTTTACAGTTGATAATTAATGTCTACATGGTAATAGAAAATTTATGCTGGGATCTGTTTGAGGATTGCAGCAAGACGCCAATAAATGAAATAAGAAGCTATGGTGGTTCCAGCTATCAGTAGAGTTTGGTACTGTTTCAATGTACATATGTATAGTTAAAATTGTAATGGGCTGTGTACCATGTACTTATGCTATCATATTCAAGATTTTAAAATGTATATTTTTTTTTTCTCTCTCTCTCTCTCTCTCTCCTTTTTCCTAGCTTATATCTTCATAGATTGTTGATGTTTTCTTTTATAGAAAAATCATATTTGTAGAGTATTTCATATCATTATTTTTTTTAAGTTTCCTTTTGAAAATATTAAGCTGTGTAAACAAAATCAGATTGGTTTTGTGTGCATGTCTTAAAGGAGAGTGGAAAATTTAAATGGGACAAAAATTGTCTTGCTTAAGTTTCTAGTATTTTAGTGTGTGTTTATATTCAGTTTTAAGAAGTCCAAACTAATTCTCATACAATCTGGAAAGTTAAAGGAAAGAAAAAAGGATTCATAAAAATATGAATGCATGCAATCAATTACAGTTTTCGATATCTATATCATTTAAATATTTTTCTTCATATTTTTTTAACTTTTGAGAGACAAAAATTTATGCAATCCATATCCACGAAATTTGCTTCAGATTCCTAGATGGACAAAACTAAAAACCTTTCTAAAAATAGCTTTTATATGTACAGAGCCTCATTGGTAAGTCTGAAGCCTAATAATGAACAAAGTATTTTTTAACACAAAATATAATTATTTTTCAATATAATCTCCTTTCCTGTCAGTGTACATAACTCAGAGGTGAATACTAATTAAATAGATTAAATAAATTAATACTAATTTAATAGATCAAATACAATACAGGAAAATATTTTCTATTAAATGAAATTTGCATATTTCATTTTTTTTTTTTTTTACAAAGTCCTTGTGCAACCAATTTACTGGATATGAATTACATCCATTTAATTATATAACTTACATTTTTATTTGTCCAAGGGAAAAAGATTCCCAGAATAACAACTCCAAGGATTGGACAACAAAGGCTGCCATAAATGAATAAAGATGCCTGGAATAGACCAAAGAAATTTAATCAAATTGCAGAAATGCAAGTGCTAGAAATACAAATTCAAAAAATACTTACAAAATGATATTAGTTTCTATGAATGTCAAATAATTTACTGAAATCCCAAAATGTAGAATTTTGTTTTAATTGAAGCATAACTATCTTTGCTACAAGATTAGAACGATCCATATATTCATGTCTCCAAGAAAGGAAAACAACAGCTTGCAAGGCAGGATTTTATTGCATTCAATTAAACTTGTATAGCCACTACATTTTTATTAATATAGTTCTCAGTTTAAACTGCCTCTACAAATTTTTTTTATTCTACATTATAAATTAAAATTGTTATTTTTCTTCAAATTTTTTGGATGTCAGATTATCTCTCTGATTATTCTATCAATGACGTTTATCTCTAAGTCATGGTGGTGTTTATCGTAAGATCAAACTGAAATAATGAATATTATTCTATTTTGTGAACAATATAATAGATAATACCCTGGAAGACATAAGATTGGTAATGATAATTGTGAAAATAAAATCTAAGCTGAAAAATAAAATTGGCATACAACATAGGATTTTATTTCATCACTTTACATTTACTGTCAAAAATTATTGCATATTTTAAGATTTTATAATTATTTGAAGATTTTTCACATACGAGTCTTTCAATATATTTTTTTCTAATTATTATAGTTTACTCATTTGCATCTTTAATATATGCCATGTTACTAGACACAGTTGAATCACTCTCCTGCCTTCTATATATCCCAAATGTAAGGAGAAAGTTCCATTCAGACAGCTTTTCAAAAAGAATTACCACTTTGTGGATGCTTCTCTAACCACAAGATTAGCCCCCTTCAAGACAAGGAGCAATCACTATTTATTTTCCTTATCTTTATAATATTCATTTCTTATCACCACCTCTTTCATTCATATTACACACCTCATACATCATAACAATTTAGGAGTAACCTGTGCTACTTTCAGTGGTTCTAGAGCCTTGTATTGGGTGAACTTTAGTATTAAGAAAAATCCTACAATGCCCCAATCTTTTTTTTTTTTGCTTTTCACAGCTATGATATGATGTAGAAACATATAACAAGAAATTATAAAATAATCTAGAGAGATCCACAACCCACATGTTTGTCAGATATCTGTTTAAAAATAAAGTTCTGTGTAAGACACAAACTTTAAGAAAACAATGATCTTAGGATTTATATATTTATTGTACAAAGTTACAATGCAGATCAAGCTGACACTTAATGGCTTTTCAGAACAACTTCTGAAAGTGAAAAATACTTAGAATATATTAATGAAAGCAAATTCTGTACAATCACAATAAAAACCTTACACGACTGACTTTAGGCTGTTATATCAAACTTGAATTGTCACTAAAGCCTAAGATTTGTATTATATCCTGCTACAAAAAAAAAATCCCACTTCTATAATTTGCATATATACAAGGATCTTTAATTAATGCAAATGAGAACTTTTACATTTCTCCAAGCGAATTGTTCTAAATATATAAAGAAAAGAGAATATATTTTAACAGGCACTAATCTTGAGAAAGCTATACGAAATGAGGGAGAGTGAATTAAATTTTGTAAATATCACCAGCAAATCAAGAATGTGTATGAAAGTGTATATATTGCCAGGAGCATAAATATATAGAGTGAAATACCTATGGATATATATTTTGAAATTTTAAGTTGAATGAGGTGTGGCACCTGAATGGAAGAAAAGGTGATAAGAAATTAAAATTATAAGGATAACACAATGACAATTGACCCTTGACTTGCAAGATTGAAGGATATAGAGAAACAACCATGCAGGAGTTTGATAGTTCTTGAAAAAAAAACTGTTCATGTGGAACTTTCTCCTTACATTTGGAATATGGAAGAAACAAGGATGATTTGACTAACTTTAAGGATCTGAACTAGTAGAACTAAATCTAAACATTTACTAATAGTGCTAGAGTAGTAACAGGCTTGCAATGTTGCATCTGTTGGAAAAGTGCTGCAGAGTGGAAAATAAGCTTTCTCCCAACAAGATCAAATATTGACTTTGAACTTTGTCAAAGATGGAAAATGAGTATTGAACAAGTATACTCCATTTTTTGTCCTAATCTGACTCTTATAAAGAGAAAGCCTAAGGCAGCCAAATACTTCCTGGATAAATAGAAAAAGCAAACTGTTTAATATAAGAGTTCCATCTGAAATCTCAAATGAAATATATTATTATATCTGTATCTATACAGTTATACTCACTGAAACTCTCACACACACTTTAGTCATAGGAAAGTAGCTTGCTTAAATTCTCATTCAATCACACTCTACTAACTACTGTGGCATGCTAACAATGAGACATTTTTAAAATATTTAGTGATTGCACAGAACATAGGGAGAAGTGGATTCATGCCTTTCGGAAGGGTGGTAGTAAGAAATGAACATAAGCAGACTGCATTGAAATTTGAATCTAACTTGTTAATTCTATATACTACATTGCACCAACACCTACAGAGAAACAGTCTTTTTGGTCTGCATGTGTAAATGGTAGAGAATAACCATTGCTGGTCTTAAAGATTTGTTGGTTTTTGATTTGTTCCAAAAGAGCATTTTGTCAGAATGTGACATTGTATTTTTAGGCTTTTGAGTGCTACTTACAGCAGATACTACTTAATAGAGGAGAACTAAGTGGTTAGTGAATCAACAGTGAGCAACTTCCCCATCAAAAAATAATTATTTATATTGGTCCAAATAAAATCAATGCTTTGAATAACTGGAATTCTCTCTCTCTCCTCTGTGTGTGTTTGTGTGTGTGTGTGTGTTCAAGAAGAATGACCTCCCCACCCCACCCCCCAAAAAAAACTTACTCTCAAAATTCCTTGAGATAACAGGGTGGCAATTCCAGTACAAAGACTCCCAATTAAAAATGCTGAAATTAAAAAAAAACATTTCAAATAATTTAAACAAGTTAAGGTTTTTAATTTTGCAAGTCTAATAAAAAAATTCAGAATAGCTTATAATTTTCTTATACAACTGTCTTGCCTCTTTTACGCAATTCAGATACTAAATTCAATGAACTCATAAACTTTCATTCACACCACCGGGGGTGGGTTGACACAAAATGAGAATTCCAATTGTATCTGTCTGGATTTGAGTATTCTCATTTTCTAAAAGAAAAATTAACAAAGCTTGGTAAGAAAGTATTGTTTAGTATTGCTTAATAAGGTTTAGTGACAGTCACCAGTTGAAGAAAACTTTTTTATTTTTTTTTTTTTTACTTCAGCAGGAAAGCAATGCAAAATATATTTAAAATGCTAAAATGTACTTGTTTAAACCACCAAGCTCTTCAAAATAAAATAAAATATACTGACGTTTGGTCAGATTTTGTGAAATAGGTCAGGCTGACAACTTTGCAGACACCCACTTATGTGCGTGTTTGTGTGTATATTATATGTCTATATTCGCACAAATAACTGTCTATAATTTTGATAAAAATCATCAGTGCAAGAGTTGTTCAGACTATTGAGCTCACTCTTCGTCTTGCTAAAGTCAGGCTTGAGTGACATATAAAAAATTTTATCCAAAGGAAAAGTAGAAAATCTGATATGCCAGATCACATATACAGAGAAAAGTTTAGATTATCCTGTGTGGAATAAAGTTCCAATAACAGTGAACATCAATGGATGGTAAGAAAATTGAAAGAAATGGTTGGAGAGATCTGTAAATCAGACTTGTGTAGATTTCAGTCTGAGCAACTCCTGGAATTAAAATGACTTCTCAGAATTATAATAAATACTAGTGGAAATACTCAGCTTTACACTGGTTTATAAATACATGAAATAAATACATGACTTAAATATATTTTGTATAAAAAATATATTTTGTATAAAAAAAACCCTGAAACTATTCACAAGGTCCAAAAATGTTGATTTAATTAGAATCAATTCAGAAAATAGTCATATTTTATCTTAATTTTAGTATTTTCTAAACTATAAAAGCCTGGCAAATTACAGGACACAATAAAATATAGCCTAAAATACTCTTGTATCATTTAGAAAGAAGGTTCATTGACTATCTTTGTTGGAATCTAGCTATAACTCATAAAAATATTCTTTTACAGAATTATTCTGTACTAGCTGAATTACCCACACCTTGCTGCATGTCACACATTTTTTTTTGTAAAAAAAAAAAAATGATTGATTTTAAATCATTGCTATAATTTGTGGAGAAAAATGATGTATTTCAATATTATTCAATGATCTTGTCAATGTGACCTCCATCTTCTGGCTTTCTCCATCTATACTTTGGATAGGAATCATTCCCTTGTTCAAATTTAAGTTTAATTTAAATCAAAGTGGAAAAATCAGTGGGGGTGTGTGCTGGGGAACCCCTTTGATCAAAATAAAATATATTTATCCAAGTACCCTGGATAATGTAGTTTCAGGATATATATGGTTATGGAGGTCTATTTCCAAAACACTAAGAGGAGTTCAATAACAAACAGACAGAGGCTACAACTTTATATATATATATATATATATATATATATATATTATCTTCACTTCAGTGTAGTTTTCCTTGCTCAGCAGAGAGGGAATTGAAGGACATTCCAAGGCATATATGGAATCATTTCATTGTACAGGTACTAAGAATGGTATTGTCTGTGTGGCTTGTATTGCTAGGAATAAACCAAGCTAGTGAGTAAATTAGCCATCATTCTTTTCGGCTCACCCATATTTTTCCCCCCAAGTAAAGACACCATATTTTTTCCTTATGGATGTTTAAATCCCTTCCTAAGTCTTTCTGAAGAAGGTTGTAGATTGGCTGAGCCAAAATGTTGTGCTACTAGCAAGTTCACCAATCTGAATAACTCTTGGAATATGTTTATTTTGGGTTATCAGTTTCTGTGTAGTTTTTAAAATTTTGTTTTATCATTATATTGTTTTATGATTTGATTCCTAGTCTTGTTTTGGCTTACAGCCATATTATGTTGAAACACTGGTACTCATACAATCACCGAAGGGTGACTATTTAGGAATACCAAATGCTGTCAGCTTGAATGTGAGAGTGATAAAAAGGATAACAGCTCAGAATTGGAGAGCCAAATTATAATTTCAGTTGGGTTCACTTATGTGCAAATACCCTTTGGAAATGTATGAATCCATCTATTCTCCCCCCAAGCTATGGGTTAATTAATAGGATTTGTATCAGTAAAATCCTTATTATCTCTGAAAAATTCTTACAATCTAAAAATAATTTCTGGCTTTAAATAACCTGCAAAACAAATGAATCAATCTTTTGTGTTTAGTATAACATAGGTGTTATTCTTGGTGATCAGTCTAATTGTAATTTTTTTTTTTAATGCAGTTCTTTTCCCCCATATATTAGTATCTTGGTTAAAAGTGAGTTTTGAGTTCAGTTTATGGTAATTTTATCAATTCTTTATGCCTTCAGGGTCCGGTAAGTGGTATTAGGTTGTTAGTTTGTCGAATATATATATATATATATATATATATATATATATATATATATATATATATAAGCATCTATGCTCATACAGATGCACACACTCATTGCAAAAAGTCAAGTATCATCTACAAATTTTAATATTTGATTATTTTACAAATTCATCTTTCCCTTCATTTCATATAGTCTACCATGTTTATAATATTAGACAATAACTAGTAGTAACATACTTCCCACTGTTCTCTAATATAGCCCTAACCTTAACCCCTACTCCCCACTATACTGCTAAGATGGTATGTTTAAGGTTTGATCTGAGGAAGTCTTAGGCAAAGTTGGTCAAAACATCATCCAGAATGAAGTCGGAGTGTTATAAGAAAAAGAAAATTTAAATTGACTTCCAGACAACCAACTCTTGTTTATAGAAACAATGAATTTATTTGATGGTGGCTACAATTTTTCAATTAACCCCATCTAGTTCAATAGTGCTGTGATCTACAACTGACTGGAGAGTTCTTAGACATTGCCATCACTCATAACACAATGTAAAAACAATAAAAATGCTCAATATTGATAAACGGTAGTCTGTTCAAGAAATCAATCAAGGAAGTTTGGTCTCAGGCCTGTAGACAAAGTTGTTCTCCAACACTTTCTCTAAATTACTCATCTGTAAACAGATAACTTCTTAAGTTGATGAAAATTTTCATCAGTTGAATAATTCTTCTTGGTTGATATCTTGCAAGGATTAGTAAAAAGGGTGGTGATGTTGACTTGCTGTATCTTCCCTGGCAACCAGACTACAACTATCTAAGGGTCAATATAAGTCTGCTTATACTGAGGTAACCAAGTGTGTCTGGAATGATGTTAATTCAAATTAATTATCAAAAGCCCTGAAACTATCATTTTCCCAACTTTTCCAAATTTGGCCTGTTTAAATCTTCCTTCCATGTTCTCATGTTTCCATTGGTTGAAAAATCTCTCCCTGCCACTCTTATAGTGGGTCTAGACTGATGACATCATTAAGTTGAGCTCCTTCAACTAATTAACATTATCTGCTCAGGTTATAATTTCCCAACATCCACTTTTCTATCCACCCATACAATTTCAAACCTCAGCATATTTTCTCTTGAATTACCTCCCCATTCCTTAAATGAAAAATTAATGATTGGCAAATAGCAATCCATCATTTTATCTACAATGAAATATCTGTTTAGTTTATCTAGTTTTACTCTTGCTTTTTCCATGGTGAAATTATCAATATCTAACAGAATTATCAGGAATGGGCTGTTTTTACAGTCATTTTATGATGAACATATTAATCTTTCAATAACACATGGCCAATTAAGAAATTTTACCCCACATGTTTTTTTAGCCAGTTCTGTTTTCTTTTGACGGACATTTTTTACTGGATTTTTTCTTTTTTTTGCCTTGGGTAAACATCTAAACTCCCAATTTCTTTCTTGCCACCAATTTAGATTCCATTTAGATCTCATTTTCCTCCAGGCTTTTAATTTAAAATAGCTAATTTTACTTTATGTTGAACATGAAACCTAAGGTACCTCTAGTCTATTAGTAAAATCCAAATTACCTAAATTAGTTATCTAGGCTTTTCACATCAGGTGAAGACATGAAGCCAACCTTCTTTTATTTGCCTACACCACCTTTAATTACCATGAAAAAAGATTTCATTTGTTCATTTGTTATCTAGGCTTTCAAACCAGCCATCTGGTATAGATACACTTCTAAAATTCACACTAGTTATAATAAAGATATGAATATAATTTTCAGCTCACAAAGAGAAAGATACAAATATAACCTGAAAAATATTATTTAATGATCACTTTAATCTGACAATTATTAACATAGCAAATAGTGTAAACAGAAAACAATAGATGATGATTTTTAGTCCAGCTTTTATTGCTTGATACCAATAGCACCAACATTTTAATAAATTTTGAAGGTAGACAAAAGAAATGAAACACATGGATAATCTGTTTGATGCAGATTAAAATCATTATGAGTTTGACTTTATTTCTGGATCAGCCTAAAAATATATTTCTAAGTCTTGGATATGGATTAAAACATTCCTGGATTTTGCCTTTTGACAATTAACTCACCTGTAAATACAATTAAATAGTTTAGCAGGCCATGACAATCATCTGGAATTGTCATATTTGCATTGAATTATATAGAATTTTCTTTCATGGAGTCAGTCTTTTCACCTCTTATAAACATCTTGGAATAGTTCATCATGACAGAATTGTCACTGCCAATGCAAGGAAGACAAGTTTTATTTCTCTTGCACTGGCAACATTAAAAGTTAGGTAAAAATATGCAAATACACTTGACATTTTATATAGTAAGATACTTAACTTTTGGACATGTGTGAGTGTGCATGTTATAGATAAATTAATTTGATTAATGTTATATTGTTACTTTCATAATTTAATGCAACTTGGTGTTGAAACTATAACATTGATATTTCAATCAAGATCTAAAAAATGCAAGCAAATATTTGAGGTGTCAGTTTTTGCATATTGTATAAAACAAACTTACCAATCACGCTGTGGACAATCTCTGTCTTTCTGTGGCCGAAGTTGAATTTCGGCAATAGGTTTTTGGAGAAGACCTTGTTGGTTGCACTCAAACCACAAGAAAAAGAACTGCAAAGTTATCAAAAATGTTTAAATTGCTTTGAACATTACTCTTTAAATTGAAGCAACAAAGAACATCTATCAATGCCTTGATAAATACAAAATCCTGACCTGGCTTCTATCTGAAACTATTTGATAATAAATATTTATGGGTGTCTATGTGTGGGCAGGTAAATTAGCTGGCGGTCATCTCATGTTTTAATTGCATCCTTTAACAGAAATCTGCTTACTTCATACATTATTTCTTCATATTTCATACATTCATATTTCTTTAGTGACAACTAAATAAAATAAAAATAATTAATATTCTGCAAACATTCTTGTGCATATTCTGAATCAATAATGATCTCAAGATCCCAAACAAGTTTATTATCTTTTCAAATTCTAAACCCCTACTTATATCAATTCAAAATAGAAATAGCAAGATTCCCTTCTTAATTAAATTCATGAATAAATTAGACCTGCTCTCCAAAAACAAAGAAACTATATTATATTGGATACCAAGTCATATCGGTATTCAGGGAAACGAAAAGGCCAACAAAGCAGCAAAGAAGTCACTAAATATGGAACTATCAAATGCAAAACTCCCATAAAATGATCTCCAACCAACCATTAATAAGATTATTAAAGAAAATGGCAACAGTTATGGAATAAGTGTCGTAATAATAAATTATATAATGTTCAGCCAATGTGAATGTTTCTCTGGCTACCAAAAGATAAGAAGAGAGGAGGTGGTTCTCGCTATTGGACATACACATGTTACTCCGAGACATTTATTGAGAAATGAAATCCCACCAATGTGTGTATCATGTCAGCAGTTGTATACAGTCAGCTACATTGTTTGAATGTTGCAGCTTCCAGGAAATCCGAAATAAGTATTACAAAATGAACAATCTTAGAGAACTTTTTGAAAACATTAAACCAGATACTGCAATTTGTCAATAAGATTTAAAAAAAAAAAAAAAAAAAAAAATAAATAAATAAATAAATGTTCATAAATGTTTACACAAACAAAAAACTTACTTTCAATCATTCTTGACAAACAATAAAACCTGTTTTCAACCATATCTGGTGAACAATGAAACTTCTTCTCTGCCATACTTGGGAAAAATTTTCCTTCAACCATACCTAACTATAAAACTTACTCTCATCCATACTTGACCAACTATAAAATATGTTTCACACACAATTTGGCTCTAAATGGCCTACAAGAGGTTGAGGGGGCCATAAAACACAATCAATCAATCAATTATCAATCTGAATCAATGACTCCTTTTCAGTTCCTTTCATCTCTTTTTGGAATGTATACCATTTTTCAGAGGAAAGATGTCAACATTTATTGGAGGAAGAAATAAATACTTAAGGGATTGCAATAATCAAACAAAATCCATAAATGGATATAAATGATTATGGTAATGGGGAGATTAGCCGTTTCCTTATAAAGAAACACTCAGCATTCATTTACTGGACAGTTAGGGATACTGTTGGTTGAAATTTATAAAATCTATTAAGACTGTTTTTCAGGAAAATAGATTTCTCAAATTCACTTTGAGAAAATTCACTTATTGCTCTTTCTACTATTGAAAGGAGTTTCCTTCCTAACCTTTTGTTTAAGATAGTGTGAAAAGTCAACATCTTGATCATGTCATTATTTTCTCTTCTAGTTACATGTGCTATCCATTTTAGTAGTTTCTGCTGTTGAAAGTGTTCACAGGATTTGGTTTCTGTTATTTGGTATAGTGATTCTGTAGCACCAGTTCATAAGATCCAACAAAGGACATTCCTCTTCACAACCTACAGGATTCATTCACTTGAATCCATTTTTAATAATCTGAGAAAATGGTTATGTATAACTAATAGTTTAGACAATTCTGAACAAGTTGAACCCTGTGCATGACATTCATATGAGAATCTAGATCTAATAAGGTTATTTAAGAACATTACTTCAGTTCTTAGGTTAACGTTATGTCTTGTAGCAATTTGCAGTGTTGGATGAAACTACCCATAACACAGCCTCTATTGTATATTCAATTTCCTTATCTCCATCTGTTCTAATTTGTTATAACTAATCCATACACCAATATATTTGAAATGTTTGGTATTTATTAATTACTTTATACTTTATGATAGATTCAGGGTAGGTGCTATCAAGTCTTCAAGTGATGTGGTTTCTGTTATTTGTTAATATTCTTTGTAGTTCTGTAGTTCCAGTCTACAAAGTCTGATGAAGGACAGTTGTCTTTAAAACCTACACATAAATCCATTTTTAATAATTGATCCGAGAAAATAGTTATGTATACCTAATAGTTTAGACAATTCTGAACAAGTTGGACACCATGCATGACATTTGTAGGGATATTATTATTATATATTTAAACCTTATTTAAAATAAATTAAATAAAAAATAAAAATTAATAAAATTACTCCCAGCATGCAACAAAAACTGTTCCTGCTGGAAATATAGACATCTTGCCAAAAGACATGAGATTCAATCTCTTCACCCAAGAACTGTCAGGGTGACAACATGTGTGTAACTTCCCTCAATGATAGGACTTGTGATATTATTGAGTAACTTGCCTCCTGTTATAATATGAACATTATCATAATTGTAACATAAAATACACACAAATACATAAATAAAATTGTATGAAATTACCATACAATTTGTCATGACTTCTCGGTATTATGTACATTTATATTTCCTGTTTTTATCTTCCTAAAAACAAGCCTAAAATTCTACTACCACTACTCCTATGGTGTGAGTGAATACCCCACACATCCATATGAGAGTCTAGACTGATAAGGCTATTTAAGAACATGACTTGAGTTCTTAGGTTAATGTTTTGACTTTGTAGCATCTTGCAGTGTTGGACAAAATTACACCGAGTGAAGCCTATTCTATGTTCATTTTCCTTTTCTGCTACACTAAATTTGTTATAATTGATCCATAAGCCAAGGTATTTCAAGTTTTTAGTATATATTAATTCCCCATTCTAGATTTTCATGGTGGATTCAAAGTATCTGCCTTCACTGATTTCACTCCAATTCCATATCAACGTTTCTATTTTGAGAAAGTTTATCTCGAGTCCTATTTCTTAGAACACTTGATAAAGAATGTTGATTTTCTTTTTTGTTCAAGATCATTCTTATCCCAACTATAAATACTGATGTCATCAGCATAGTCATCATCTGTACACTGGCCTCTGGAGAGAAAAAAGGAACACTGTTTTCTCTTAGGAGATTTGTTTGAAATGAGGCATGAAATGTTTAAATTATTAATAAAAAGTGTTTATGTGACAATTATTCCCACAATTAGATTATTTTAAGATTGGGGGAAGGTCATTATTGCCATGATATGTTATACCACATAGGTTTAATAAATAGCTTTGATAATTAGTAAATACTACATAGGTTTAATAAAGTTTTTGATCATACGAGATAACACACTTTTCTCCCAGAAACTATTACTAAGGTCTGCTCAGCATAGTTGTGGTATAAACCACAGGTTGGCTTTGTGGCTGTTAAACAAACACATATGTGCCTGAGCGAGAGTCACTGGTATGTTTATGAGAAAATAAATATGCAAAAATTTGCCTCTCTGCCAGGTGTCAATAGCCTAGGGGTTAGAATCTCTGACTGATACCAAACCAGTCAGGTTTCAGTCCTGGCTTGAAGTGAATGGATGTGTAGCCACACTGATGGGCAAAGCAGTCTGCTTGTGGATATATATATATATATATATATATATATATATATATATATATATATATATATATATTAATGTATATTTGGGCAGCAACCTTTCTTTTAAACATCTTTCATTAAATATGGCAAGATAAGGAAGATTTAATTCTTTTTTATTTAGTTTTTCCAGCATTCTTACATTTTTTTCATTTTGTAGGAGTAAGGCCACTTCTTTATAAATAAAATTCAACTTTAACAGTCAAAACATGGGGATAAACTAACAAAAAAAAAGCCCCTTAAAAATTGTTAAAGAAGTGTCCGAAAGCACTTGGTACAATGAAAATTATGAAAAATTTCTGTACTCCCTTACTCTAATAAAAGGGAAGAACACAAGAATGCTGGAAAAGCTATATATATGTAAAATGTGTATGTATGTATGTATATCATTTAACTCAGAGCCCACTGGGACTGTTGAACCCCTTAGCCTTCATTATGGTATTCAACTAGGTGAAGAAATACTCTGATGTAACGTCTGTATCTCATTAGCAACCGATGATGTACACTTGCTCTTATTTTCCAATTATTGCTTTTGATGTACAGAGAGTAAATTTGACCCACCCTACCATCTTTCTCTTCTGTCAAAAATTTCATGCAAAGGCATTGCTCGATATTGTAAGATTTTATCAAAAGCTGGCTATAGCCCAAAATGGCAACAAACTCAATGATTACTAACAATGTTATTGATACAAATGACAATGCTGGAACTGTTTCAAATAAATTACTTGATGCTGCTGATGCAAATGTGAGCCATTCATGTAGGACTTGTGGCAATGATTTAAGTCATGGACTGAGCTAAAAAGTCATATTTGAGTGCAACATAATTAAAAGGGTTTCAATTAATGCCATATGATGACCATACTCAATTCCAAGAGAGTAACCTACATATATATATATATATATATATATATATATATATATATATATATATATATATATATATATATATATTGTTGTACAACATCTTATTTGAAAATTGGAAAAATACAATAAAAATTAAACAGCTTTTGTCAGAATTTGGGAATTTTGGGAAGTAACACACACACACACACACACACATCACACAAATTTAGAGTGATTTGTTTGGCCTTGTGCCATACTAAGCAAAACTTTGTAAATATTGAGCAGATTCCAGTTAATTGGGATAAAACAAAAACAAAACAATGTTGCTCATAACAGGAGCAGATGCCGAAAAATTCTTAACCTTAGTCTCACAAAGAAAGGATTCCAAAAAAACAAAAATTACAATGTTTGGTCATTTGGGACAAAACTTGAGAAATGGGTCAGGTTGAAAACTTTTTAGCACCTCCTCATAGATACAAGTAAAATACATACAATTTTCAGTTTTATATTAAAGGTATATTATATCTAGAAGAGGAGAAATATTTTTCCATGTTTAATAAGTTTAAAAAAAAATTAAGATTTAATAATATACTGATCTACTATGAGCCTTAATGTTTATTGACAATTGAAGAACTTAGCAATTTTTGGCAGAGTAATTATTCCAATCAGTGTTGAAAAGTTGATTTTCGATTTGTTTCAAGAGTGGAAAATATCAAAACTGACAAATCATTATACAACAAGTTTTTAGACGTCTGGAATTTTACATACAAACTTCTATTTTTGCTATAAACTTTTATTTATACTCTAAAAGGATCCTCACAGATACACAGAACTTTTCAGTATATTCATACACATATGACTACATGTAACTGACAGTCATGTGTACACTAGATTATTGTATGAAAAATGCTTTACTATTGTGGTATTGAGCACTTTTTCCAGTATACCATTCTAGTATACTCCTTTGGAAATGTCTGTTTTTGGGGCTAAAATACACACACACACACACAAGGTGGAGTAATGGAGGGCAGAGTTCAAATTTCAGTCAAGTTAGTTACATTCACTTACATGCAAATACCCTTGTGAAAGGTATGAATCCATCTCTTTTTCCCCCCAGCTATGGGTAAATAGTATGACAGACTGGATTTTATAGGCTTGGGTGGAAACCGGTCTAAGAAAAGGACAACTCTGAATTGAATAATCTTGTGGCACACTATGTCCACTAGTTCTGTATTCAGCTCTTGCAAAAAGTATGGTCAGTTCTGCAGAAAACTTCACCACTCTAATCAAATCATATATGTGAGTTTGGTTGTAAGAACTGAATTGCTGTACCCTCATACATTGAAAACAACAGGAGAGTTCAGCATATATATATATATATATATATATATATATATATATATATATTTGGGTGTGAATGTGTGTGTATGTAGATAAGAACCCACTTGATAAGCTACATAAAATAAGGTAATGTGATTTTCTGAAAGCAATACAAGAACAAATTACCATTTATTGCATATAACATTGTTATTTTAGTGCCATTTGAAAAGATTAAATGGAAATGACTACAGAATATTTAACTCACCTCATGGTAGCACTGAATATTCCTGCAACAAATAAACCCACCACACCATCCATGTCTATTCTCTCCATGAGGAATTTGCCTACAGCCTGTAAACAAAGGGAAAATAATCCTATCAATATAAAGAATGATTTTGCAATAAGAAATTCAAAGAGATACAACAATGTGTCATATATTTAGAACAATGCCATTAAACTTTGCTGCTCAAAAGTGTTTCAATAATAATCATTGAAATGGTGCCTAATATAGTGGTAGATATTTATATTTTTGAGGAAATCCACCCCCCCACGAGATTGTTAAAAGCACTCCATTTATTAATTTATAGCTGCTTCAATTTAATTTTTTACTTATATGCTTTTATAATTGCATTATTTAAAAAAATAGTGACCCTTGTTCTTTTTTATTCTTTCTAGGCTATGTTATACTCTTTGATAAATGTAATTTTTAAAAAAATGAAAAACAAAAAAATACATTACTTAAATTTTAAATTTTTAACCATTTAAATGATTTACCAACCCCTGCCCAACTTTATTTTTATTTTATTTTTTTTTTACTTTACTTCACCCATTACAAGGCCCAACAACAACTCAAGGTACAGGGTTACTGAGTGAGATTGATTCCTTCATTTTTTATGGATTATCAACCCTTTGCAGGTTATTTAAAGCCAGAACATTTTTTTTACCTTGTAAGAATTATTTTAATTTGTAAGAATTTATTTTAATGGTTTAGTGATACAATTTTTACTAATTAACCCATAGCTGAGGAAAAAGAGTTGGATACATACCTTTCCCAAATATTTCAGCATAAGTTAATATAACAAACCCAACAGGAATTGGAACTCAGCTCTTTGATTAATAATACTAATAAACCATTATTAATTACACCACCCACACATCCAAGCTTTCAGCACCTTGTATTCTTAACTGGTCACTTATCTAGTTATTGACCAAGATTGATGTTGCTTAACTCTGGTGATCATATTGGAACCAGTGTTTCAACATGATGTGACTGTAAGCCTTGTTGGAAGGAGGAAAAAATAAGAAGTTCATATTATGAGGATATGTAGAATAGTTATTGATAAAGATTGTAATGATCAGCAAAGCATCCACTCAGGAGTCTATTCCACAAAATAACAGCTCTGGAAAAGAAGCTGTCCAAGTTGAACTTGCTCCTTACCAAAGGAATATGAAAAGTATAAGGATGATTTGCCACTGTAAATATGGCATGGTAAATCTTAGCGGTGAAGGCCTAAGTTGGTGGGACTAAGATATCAGTACTCCTAGAGGAGTGAAAACCATAGAGTTTGTTACTGTTGTGGAGTGATTTCACAGTGGAGGCTTGTATTTGTACTAAGTTGGTCCTAAAATAGGTTCGACATACAAAACATTAGGAACTCGATATAATAAGTATAACGCAGAGTAATCTAGTTGTGGTCGCTGATACTTTAGTATTCAACTGTCGTCCGACATCGACTGACTCACCAACTGACCGACTCACCCCCACGTTACTCTTACTACTCCTACTTATTATAGGTGGGAGAGTCTATTAACTACAGAATAGATGTGTTCCACTAACAGTTACACAGGAGATTGTTTCTGCTGAGGAGGTCAGCAACTTTCTTGTTGATGATAGCTTCAAAAAGTTTGCTTATGACACTAAGGAAGTTGATGGGGCAATATTGTAATGGGACAAGGGCTCACCTGCATTCTTGTATACTAGACATACACTAGACATTTTCCATGGGCTTGGGAAACATTTCTTCTGCAAACAACAGTTAAACAGCTTTGCCAAGATTGGAAATACTTCTGGGCCAAGAATTATGGTTATTTTATCTGGACCAGTAGCTTTCATAGAAACAAGGCTTTTGACAAATCTGGAAACCTCCTGATCTGAAATATCCCAAAGTTTGTGCTTCATGAGGTGGGAGAAGTCAGGTAAGGAATTGTCCTTGTTGTTTAACATGGAGTTAGAAGCAAAGTTCATTGCAAAGAGCTTAGCCTTATCCAATGAGAATGAGATAACCTCAGGGCCATTTATAATCAAGGGCACTGATAGTCTGCCTCTATTGAGAATTGCATTCATGATTTTCCAAAACTCGTAGGATCCAACTATTTTTGTTTCTGCTTTGTCTTGGACTGTTTACACATATCTGCTCTCGATCAATTGAACCATTGCTGTAAACATCACAACTTATGCAGAGAATAACTACAATTTTTAATAACCATTTTTTTGAATTGATATGAACCTTAAAATTGTTACCTTGTAAAACATGCAGTATACAAACAATATTAATACTTACCTTGTCCATATCTTCAGATTCAATATTATGAGCAAGCATTTGCAGCCCAAAAAGACAACAAAGAATGATTACAATGATGAGGCCTGGAGAAGTCAACCATAGACTTCTGTCATAAAAAGGAAAGAGCAAAACAAATTAGAAATAAGGGAATATAAGAATAAAAGAATAAAATAAATTATTATTTAAAAAATGTTGGAATAAAGAATTTTAAAATAGGCATAAGAAATTGGTAGATAGTAAAACAACAACTTTACATTTGATATCTGCTCACAGGAGAAAAATAAAAATTTAAGATAGTGTATGGATTTTATTATTTGTACTGGTACCTCATCTTCATTGTTTTGATTGTGTTTATTCAGTGAGCTAAAATACAAAGTTATAGAAGGGACAAAGAAATCTGAAGTAATATGAGAATAAGACTTAAATGAATTTAAATAAGATCATGTAAGAATAAAAGAATTCTATCTTTTTTATTCTAGATTATCTCCTAGATATGGTTAAATAACAGGGCAGACTAGACTCTCTCTAGCTTTGGTTGGCAACAAGTCAAGCAGAATTCAAAACTGGTTGCACCTAGGGCTGACAACTCCACTCCATAAAAATGTGCATAATAGAGAAATCACAGCAGCAATGTAATAAGGCTGTGTCCCTTTTCTTCAATCTAATGATACTAAAGAGAGAGAGCAGGATTCTGAAATAGACCTATATGAAGAGGTTTCAAAATGTTCTTGGCTCATATCACTTACCAAATTCTGACCAAATGACCAGACAACAGAATTTTTGCTTAATTCCTACTTTATCAGGATGAGCACTTTTCAACACCTCTTTGTGAAATTCAGTAACAGAAAAATGTTAGAGAAAAATAAAAATAGCATGTCTATCTTATTCTTGTAATCAGTTATTTTATTCTTATATATAATTTTACTATATGGTAGACACAGACCATAAAATCAAACATACCGTATCATTATTAGATTGTTTCTTGTAACTTAGGTATTTTAAGTCAGACTTTAAATTCCAAAGGACAAGAACATTGCTTTATATATGGTCTTCCAAATAGAGGTTAGATCACAAGACTTCTATATTTGCATTATCTGATGTTGTTTTGTGAAACAATGTTATACCATCCAGTGAGATCATTCCAAAGAAAACTAGACAATGAAAAAAGGAATAGATGACAGATAAAATTCTTGACATGATGAAAAGGAGACAGTAAACAATGCCAAGTTATGGCACAGAATACAAGACATTGCCCAAAGAAATTAGAACAAATACAGGCAGGCAAAAGAGGTATGACTCAATAAAAAGTGTGTTGAAATAGAAAGAATGAGTATTACAGATAAAGCAGATATGCATAAAAGAATAAGGGAACTGACAGCACAAAAGACATGCACATCAACATGATGCATAAAATTCAAGGATAGAACATTGATAATAGAGAAAGGAAATGACATAAGATGGAATGAATACATGATAAAACTCTTCCACAATGAAAGAGGACAAGTGGCAATACACAGAAATATCAAAAGAATTATTAAAATCTGAAGTGAAATCTGGCATTGCCTAAATTAAACAAGAACAAAGCACAAGACCAGATGAAATTGTAAAGATACTGGCAGCTTTAGATGATTTGGGCATTAACAAAATTACACACATAGAAAATGAAATATGCAACACCTGTGATATACAAGAAGTTCTATGCAAATCTATTTTTATAGTGCTGCCTAAGAAGCCAGATGCAAATGAATGCAAACTCCATCAGATAATCAACCAGATAAAATTTATCATCAGAATTCTGATGACTTGGAAATCAAGATTTACCAAGAACCCTAGACCATGCATAGAGTGCATAGCAGAATTAAACTGGAAATTGGACAAGAACAGTGTGATTTCATTAAAGACACTAGAACAAGGAATGTAATATTTATACTCAGAATGATATCAGAAAGAGCAATACAAATGCAAAAGGATGTATACCTATGTTTTATAGATTATGCAAAAGTGTTTGATAAAGTATGTCACAAAGAATATTGGAACTGCTAATTAACCTTGACATATTTGGGAAGGATATTAAAATAATCCAGAACATGTACTGGAAGTAAACCACCCTCATATGGATAGAAAATGAATTCAGTAAATATGCAAAAATAGAAATAGGTGTAAGACAGAGACATGTCTTCTCACCAGACCTATTCAACCTTTACAGTGAAACAATCCTAAGAAAATTAGAAGTCCTACCAGGATTCATTATTAGCAGCAACAATCTTAACAATGGATATACAGATAACACAGTGTTGATAGTAGGCATACAAAGGAAACAACAGGAACACCTACAGAAGTTAGTAAAGGAAAATGAGAAGGTGAGAAGAAAGGACTAAGCAGCAATTGTAAAAAGACAAAGGGTGGTTGTCAGCAAAAGAAACAGCCCAACATTTGAATTACAAATTGGAGATACCAAAATCAAGCAAGTGAAAAAAAAAAATTAGATATCTGGGAAGTGTTTTAACAGACGACAGAAGATGTGATACAGAAATCCAAAAGCACATTGGGATCGGGAAAGATGCCTTCCAAAATCAAATTACTTAGAAACAGGAAAATTTTGTTAGAAACAAAGAAAAGACTACTGAACTGTTATGTAATATCAGTCCACCTATATGGTTATGAATGCTGGACAATCACATCACAGATGAAGAAGAGACTTGAGAACAGAAACGTGGTTCTACAGAAAGATGCTGAGAATACCATGAACTAAACCGAACACATCAGTAATAACAAGTTTTAGAGAAAATGTAAACAAAAAGGACACTTATACTTAGTATCAGATAATTGAAATTTCTAGGACACATAATGAGGAAAGAGAGCTTAGAAAATTTGACACTCACATGGCATACTGAAGGCAAGAAGGACAAAGGAAAACAGCACATAACCTACCTAATGAGCTTGTGTAAATTACTGGCAGATGAGTTTTAGGAAAGATAGAAAAAAAAACTTTATTAATAACTACAAAGGGCAGAATATTGTGGTGAGCTATGATTACCCACATCCTGAGGGGAGACAACACAAAGAAGAGGAGGAAGATGATAGCTCTTCAATTGTCTAAGAACTTCACTGGAATATAAGGAATTTAAATGAATTAACATATCATGAAAGGCATGGAAATTAGTACCAACAGGAGACAAAAGAAGTTTTTAAAATAAGACAAAGATACATAATGCCCAAAACAATTAAGATCATCTCACAATCCAATAAAATTAATGGTGCAAGGCTGAAAAGTGAATCAGCTAAAGTGGTGTGAAAAACAAAGACTACAAGAGTCCATCATCTTCATTGAGCAACTTTTTAAGTCTTGGATCAAAACCCCCTAAATGTGAAACTAGAACCAGTTTTTGACATTTTGGAATCAATGTACAGTGTGGTCCAAAAGTCTTGTTGCCCTGATATAATATAATTTTCTATTTCAACACTCTGTCAGGTATTATCAATGAGAGAATTTCACATGAACGATATCAGAATAACCATCAGTTGAAGGACACCATTCAGAGAGCCTTTGCAACAATCAACAAAGTACAGCTTCGTAAAATATCACACAGGACATGGTGCCACATCATTTTGTGCAACGAAAATGATTGTCTTCATAAAGACCTTCTCGATGTGTGACAGCATCAATGAAAGTGAATAAACTGAATCCAGTACATGTGCTTTATATTACTGTATTATTTGTTCTGATTACTTTTTGGTAGGGTGTGACAGGACTTTCAGACACCCTGTATATTAAGTCCTACCAGCCATCTTCTGTAAGCTTGGTAAGCTTAAAGGCAATTAGCTTTTAAGTGTTATATTTTCTTGCATATAAAATCCTCCTGGGTTTGTATATATATATATATATATATTTTTTTTTACTGTGCACATTTTTGTCCTTGATCTTTGATCTGATGAGAGACGATTTATAAACTGCTTTTCCGTCTTTTTTTTAAATCGTTGTTATATTTCTGTATTACCATTTTTACAGTAATATATATTTTTTATTGTACCCTCCTTTTCTTTATGAAGTATATTTTAATATGTCTGTTTATATTTCACTAATAACACTTAGAATTAAGTAAAATAATTCAGTTTTGGTTGGATAGAGCAAAAAGCTGGTCTTTTTAATTTGTATTGTTAGGTCTGGAAATACATTAGGAGATTGAATAAGAATGAAAAAGCAAACAAAACATAAAATTCTGAAATTGTATCAAAAAAACTGACTCACATTGTCTAAAAGATGATATATAACAAGTTAAATAACAAGCAAAAGAATTTTTTGGTTCTAACTAGCAACTACTGAATATAGATAAATATTTGAGATAGGCTGAAAAATTCTCAGCTCTAACCATTTCCCCAAAATCTGACTAAATGGAAACTTTTATAAAATCTCTTCTTGATCAGGCCAAGAACTTTTCAACACAGTCTTGTATTATTTATATTCAGACTATTATCCTCATTTTTGTTATTGTTATTACAACATTTCAGACATTGTTCCCTCCAGCCCTCCTCACATGTAAACCAATCTGGATAATCCTCAGGGAATTCTGAACTGAACCCTTTATTTAAATAATGGATTCAGTTCAGAATTCCCTGGAGAAGATTGGAGAGTACAATGAACAAAATGTTGTGATAACAACAACAAAGATGAGGACAATAGTCTGAATATAAATAGTGTAAATGATAACACCTCATCACATAATAATCCGAATTTAAATAGTATAAATAATGATAACTCATCATCTCAGAAATTCAGGCAGAAGGTGATCAGGTGATAATAACAACAATGATGAGGACAATAGTCCGAATATAAATAGTATAAATAATGATAACTCCTCATCTCAGAAATTCAGGCAGAAGGTGATCAGGTGATAATAACAACAATGATGAGGCAATAGTCTGAATATAAATAGTGTAAATAATGACTGTGTCCCATAAATTCAAACTGAAACAATCTTGCATATAATATATAGACATTGTATCTATGTATTATAGCTATCAATTTTTTAATTATTTTCTTCCCAAGAAAATTACCATGGATTAACACAATTTTTGGTATAATTGTTATTCTTCATTACAGAATTTAAAAAAAAAACAAAAAAAAAAAAAAAACATTTTCTAAGTAAAAGACAATTTTAAGAATGCAACTAAAATAAAAACTAAAAAAATGCAAACTTACATTTGGGCTTTCTTTAAAGATGTACATGCTGCATATCTCTGTACTTGCGACTGGTTGACTGCATAAATGGCTGTATACAAAACAGTGGCACCAATCAACACAGACTGTATGCTGTATTTAGAGGAGTCTTCTGTTTGGAAACTAAAAAAGAAAAAAGTTTACAAAGGTCACTTTCTTGATATTAACTAAACTGAATACACCTCATATGAAGATTGGAAGTTTGTCTTTCATTAATTTTCTGACTAGGAACTGGGCTTGCCATTTTGCCTTGAAAAATCCTGACCTTTACTTGAACTTAGACAGACTTGTTGAAGGACCTTTGGTTAGTTTCTATAGCAGAAGAATTTACTAAGAAAATATTCTTTTTATTATCTTAGCATATTGATGACTGAAAGTGTGGACATTTTAAGCATTTTTCTCTTAAAATATTTCACTTTTCATTCTCAAAATACCAACTTTCTTTTGTTTCTGTCAAGGTAGACAAGAAAGGTAACAGCCTTTTGCTTTTTCTACCTGGACAGGTCAGTTTGTTAAAAAAGGGATGGTTTACAAAATTTCTTACTTTTTTCTTTCAACCATAATGGTATGTCAGTGACAAAACATTTTGCTCCACATGTGTGTCTTTGTACCAACAGACTAAGCTAAGTTTAGTAAATATCTGCATCATTTAATTCATTTGATCAGTTATGATAGCAAAACTATCAATAGAAATATTCCTTATCTCAGTTTCTTAACATTTTCTTAATGGTGAATACTGCTGCTACATCTCGGCTGGTATTTCTGCTATGTATTTAAAGATTCTTGACAAAATACAAAAGGTGGATCTGCAATGTTATCAGTTTCAACTGGCATCTAAGCTTCAGTCACTTTCCCATTGCTATAACATAGCTTTTCTGTACCTTTTCTATAAATATTTTCATGGCAATTGTTCTGATAAGTTTTCCTTTTTGGAAAACTAGACTTTACAAATTTAAGCACAGTACTAGATTAGTATCAAGGTCACATCATGTTTACAGATTACCCAGAAATAAATAAGCATAATTGAAAAACAGTTATGTGAAGAGAACAAAATGAAGATGTGAATTTCAAAAAGGAGAATGTTACTTAATGTCATTCAGTACTTAACAGGTAAAAATGCAAAATGTTTAATTAACCACCTTTGGCATACAGTATGTTAAAATTCACTGTTATAGTTTATTCCCCAATATGATTATAAGGCAAATTAAAAGAAAGTATTATATTTGATGACATGTAAGATTTTCACTATTGACATTATACATGGGTAGTGTTATTGTTATCTGTGTGTAAAGTGGGATTGGAGAGCAGAGTTCAAATTCCAGCCTAGGCTGCTGCATTCATTTTCATGCTAATGCTCTTGGGAAAGACAAATTCATCTCTTCTTCCCATTACCCTGCTATGGTAGGCTAAGCTCTCTAACCTTGTGTAGCAGTCAGTCTAAGAAAATGAATATTCTGAATTCAAAATCATGGAGAAGCTAATGGGAAACCACTCTATTTTTCTCAAGAAGTCATGGCAATAATAAAGAAAAGGAATCTGTGGAGAGCCATGATTGCCTACAACAAAGAACATGGCATTTCAATAAAAAAAAAAGTATTATGATATTAGGCTAGGTACAAGTATTAGTAGTCAACAGTTAGTCTACTAGATACTTGTACTTAGGATATATGACCTGCATAATATTTTTGTGGAAAAAAGGTTTGTTTAATATCATATCAACTCCTTATGGGTCATTTAATGCTTAAATTTTATTTTCTTTGAAGCTTTAGAATTTTTTTTTAAAATGTATTGCTGGTAATTTTTTGTAATGTAGTTTTATATTTTCATGTTTTTACCCCAGTTTGAGGGTTCACTATTTGCCTTAACAAGTGGTACAACCCTGGGTCTGTATGGACCTGGAAACAACAGCAATTAAGAGGTGGTTCCATGGCTCCTCAACACCTCCTGATCAGAGACCTTGTTGGAGGATGTAGTTTATCTTCATATCCAGGATGGTGGAAAAAATGTCTTACAAGTCATTAAACATGGTATATCTAAATAGGACCTAATCTACAAGTGAAACTCAAGCCCAAAATTATTTGTCTGTTTATTTTTTTTTTGGGGGGGGGGTTCCACTGCTAAAATTTAATGATTAATTTATTAATAATTTATTAATATTTATTAATAATTTATTAATAATTTATTAATGATTAATTTATTAATAACATAATACATTTATTATGTTATTAATAAATTCAACAGTGTTAAAACCTGTCATAAAAATTTTTTTAGCTGAAATCTAAGAAAGAAACCAAGAATATCTCCTTTTTTTGATGGGAATATATTAAAGAAGCATTTCTAGTCATCATGAATGAAATCTAGTTGCACAGCCTTTATGGAATTTTGGCAACCATGGGGGACAGCTTACTAAACATCCATGAACATAGACTCTCTTGTGGGGTTAGTCAGTTGGTAGAGACACCATTGAGTGAGACTGTGTACTGTGTGTGCATCTCATTCACAGTAATTGAGAAAATTGTTTAGTGACGTCTCATGCAGAGTTTGTTTTTGGCAAAAGCATTGTTTCATCCAAGTTCAAATTAGATTCACCATCAAAATGACATGAATGAGATTAAGGAGAATCCAAACCTAAAAGAGAACATTAAAGAATGTTTTGAAAAGAGGAAAGGATGGTGGATAAATGTGTGTTAGGTTCTAAGGCACCATTGCCTACATAGGCTATTTATCACTAATGGCTGGATACTTTCCGGACAGGTATATTTTGTATTATTATCATTATTATCATTATTATTACTACATTATTTAGATCAATGTCTTTATTTTTGTTTTTCTTACCCTAACATTTCAGTCTCCTCCAGTGATCACTAGATATTGCTTTATATTACTTAATTTTCTGTACAAAAGGATGCCTAATGATCTCCAGATGCAATGTACAGCTATTCAGGGTTGGAGAAAAAAAATAAATGCTATAATCAAAACAACAAAGAGGAAGATATTAGTCTGAATAATGAGTGGAATAATGAAAGTGATTTGTCGAAAAAAAAAAAAAAAAAAAAAAAAAAAAAAAGAAAACAAGAATGGTTTTACTCACAATAAAGTCTCATTCTGATTTGCCATTGCTGCCTGCAAAACATCCGTACTGTTTGTAGAGTAAGTGGTGATTACGACCACTAAGAGACCAAGAAACATTGTTATAGACTGGAAGGCCTCAATGTAGATTCCTGCTTTCATTCCTCCCTAGAAAAGAAATTTTTGAAAGAAATACAGAGAAATGTCAAAAAAAAAAAAAAAAAAAAAAAAAAAAATAATGTTGGGATACAAACTATCCCCCTCATTGCATATACATAAAAATGCTACACTATTTTGTAATCTTTGTCTTTATGTACAGAAATTATTAACCAAATTAATGTCTCGATTAATATCACATCATCTTACAGCCGAAATGGCAGGCTATAAGTTCTACGCTAACAGTTTCTTTTCTCACACTTCTTGCTTGTGGAACTCTTTTCCAGCTTCTTGATTTCCAGTCAACTTTGATCTTCAAAAATTTAAATGAAATGTCAATTAATGTTTCCTCTTTTCAAATTCTTTCATGCTAAATAACCCCTTGCATCTTAGTGGTTTTATTGTCTTGTTTGGGGTGAAATGATTTAAAAAAAAAAAAAAAAAAAGTAACATTATCAATCCTAATAGGACTTATTTAAATATCTGTACATCTTTGTCAATGAGAAGTAAAATCATTTATGCCTTTCTAATAGAATTACTGGGACTTAGATGCTAAAAGATTTTTGAAAGGATTTTATTATAATTTCCTATGGAATTAATACTTTAGCTTTAAAAAAAAGGAGCTAAATTGTTTGAAAAAAAATAATCAAATCAGTTGGAACTAAATTCTTGCAGAATCTTTTGTGCAAGGTAAGGTGTAATGGTTAGCAAATTTGTCTTGCTAGATTAAATATGACTGAATAGTAAGTTCAATCCTAACTGGGAGCCACATACTTTCAGCTTTGTGCCACATCTAAGCTACACTTAAAAAAAAATCATCATTTGTGTAAGGGGTAAGGATAATCCTTATTACAGAGACAAAATAGTCACTTTCAACTGACTAATGTCATACATTTTTTAGATGATTTTCTATGCATATTTTTCAATTCTTGGTAGAATATTAACTGTAATATTCATGTAGAAGAAAAAAAATTGGGTTTGTAAAATGCTTTCAAGATTCATTAAAACCATTTTGCAGAGCATTTAGTTTTCATCAAAGATTATTTAAATCTGAATCTCTGAGATGAGGAATTATCATTATTTGCACTATTTACATTCAGACTATTGTCCTGATCTTATCACTACGTTTAGGTCATTGTGCAACTCCACCATTCATCATATGTATATTGATTCACGTAACCTTCAGAGAATTCCTAACCAAACCCTTTATTTAATTTATGGGAGTAAACTGTTCTCACACTACTGCTCATGTCTAGAGATATTTCATCTTATTTTTAGTTCTGCTCCATTATTGCTCACCCTTTTTACACTGAGTTCAAGTGATTGAACTCACAATTACTATGTCACTAAATTCACAAACCAATGCTTTAATCCACTAGGCTATTGTCTGTGGAGAACTTGGAGCCTTAAACCTAACCTGCTTGCTGATGAGTGCTGCTGATTATTTATTCAATCAAGAAATGGATTCCTTTTGTTCTGAAGATTTTTGAAACTATTTTTTTTTATTATTGTAGATTTCAGATTGCCCTCACTTCTTAAATTTGATTTTCCAGTTTCATTTGAATATATTTTCTACTAGCTGAAATACCAACTTACACCAGGTTAGAGTTCAAAACTTGGCTCACAACTAGTTATAATGACAGTTGAATAGTTTCTTAAGGCTGTAATGGTGATCTTGTAAGACTGTCATAGTCTCACTCTCATACTCTCTCTACATGTATGTAGTGATTTTCTAAGTGTAGCTTAGATGTGGCACAAGGCCAAAAGTACAGGTACCCAGTGAGGATAGAACTCACAACTCAGTTGTAATTGTTCTAGCTCGATAATCATTAGACTGCCTCGAGGTGCCCCAGACATTCATGGTGAGTAGCTTAGATGTGGAACAAGGTCGAAAGTATGGGATACCCAGTGAGGATTGAACTCACTATTCAGTCATAATTGATTTAGCAAGACAAGATTGCTAACAATTACACCACGTCAAAGTGCCCTCTCTCTACATGTATGTATGCACATATGCATGAACACACCTGCACAGACGCAGACATGACTGCACAAATGCACACAGGCAATACAGAAAAAAAACTTGAACCAATGACAAGTGCATAAAAAAGAAAAATCAAGAAATATAAGCAGTCAATTGTTGATACCCCTGAAGAGGGGATGGACGAGTTCGTCTATGAAACTCTGGAGTCTGGATGCTGAAGGTAACATCAATCAGCTGTGACAAACATATATATATATATATATATATATATATATGGTGGTACTTGTTTGGAAAAACCTCAGATAGCTCAACTTGCAGTAGAACAAATCGGTACCCAAGGAAAAATGGGGAATAAAAAAAAGAAAGAACCAAGAACATTAAACCAAGGCGAAAACAATCGTCCAGTGTTCAAGCTCCAATGCGAAAGAAAAAAATCCCCAAAACGATTAAAAAGACAACTACATAAAGTGCCCAATACACTAAGTAGAGCAAAACCTAAGATAATCCTAACTAGGTTTCACCTAAATGGATCTTCAGGGTATTCCTGGCTATTACCCTGAAGATCCGTTGAGGTGACACCTAGGTAGGTTTGTCTGGTTCCTTAGGATTATCTTATATATTTCAAATATCTATCCAGCCAGTTGTTTTTCAAGATTAGAAACATGGCCTCCTCTCATAACCAAATATCCTCAGGTCATATATACAAATGGCTACATGTAGGGTTCCCAACAGAATTTTTACTCAAGAACACACAACAGATGACTTAAAAAAAGGAGAAAAAAAGCCAAAAAGAGAATTTTATTGCTTCAGGATTGCAGTAAAATAATGGATTTTAAAGAATCAGGCAAATATGTGACAAAATGCTGCTGTTTTTTTTTTTTTTTCCACATACATATAAGCCATCACAAATAGGCATATCAATAAGTCTGTAGCCTAATGGTGAAATCATTTTCAACCAGTATTTACTTTCCAATACAATATCCTTTGGGTCTAATGCGTTTAATTCAGTTGCGAATAATAATCACAATTGAACATTATACAATGAAAATTTCAGATCAGAATTCAGTTACTGACCAGGTTGCATGTGTGTGTGTGGACACTATATATTTGAACCTGTTCAAGCATGAAACAAACTGCCATCACTCACCATACACTTCTTCTATTTAGACATGGCTTTCTCTGTCTCTGATATTGAGAATTTTTACCCATAAATATTGTTGAAAAAAAATAGCTTTCGATGCAGTAAAAGGGGGAAAACCCAGAAGAGAGCAGCAAAAACCTGGTAAGGGTTGCAAAAGGAGACCACCTCTTGCGACCCGCTCCAAATAGGTCTGGTAAAAGAGAAGGAAAAAAGCAAT